CTACTACTACTACCACTTCTACTACTACTACTTCTACTACTACCACTACTACTACTACTACCTCTACTACTTCTCCTGTTTCTTCTACTACTTCTACTACCACTACTACTACTACTACTATTACTGCTAGTTATGCTACTACTGCTGCTACTACTGCTACTTCTACTACTACTACTACTACTACTACTACTACTACTAATACATCTACTACTGCTCCTATTTCTTCTACTGCTAGTACTACTACTACTACTACTACTCCAGCTACTTCTACTACTACTTCTACTACTCCGAATACTGCTACTACGACTACTACTACTACTATTACTCTCACTACTACTCCTAATACGACTACTACCGCTACTACTTCTACTACTACTACTGCTACTGCTACTACTAATACTACCACTCCTACTACTAGTACTACTACTACTACTACGACTACTACTACGACTACTACCTCTACTACTACTCCTGTTTCTACTACTACTACTAGTAGTAGTAGTACTACTACTACTACTGCTACTACTACTACTACTCCTTCTGCCTCTACTACTTCTCCTATTTCTTCTACTGCTTGTACTACTACTACTACTGCTACTACTACTTCTACTACTACTACTACTGCAACTACTACTACTACTACTACTACTACTACTACTACTACCACTACTACTACTATTACTACTATTACTACTGCTACTACTAGTACTACTACTGCTACTGCTACTAATACTACTACTACTACTACTACTACTCCTACTACTACTACTACTGCTACTATTACTTCTTCGAATACTACCACTTACATGACCACAACTACTTTATTAACTTTTATGGTATAGGTAACGCTGACGGAATTACTGCTAGTACCATTAACGTCAATGACTGTGCAACTGTTAGCAATGCGCTTAATTCCAACATCGGAAAGTTACTTCCATTACCGTACATAGACACGTAGGGGGGCAGCCACCTTTGCAACGAATAATACTAATAGAAATTGCGGTGAGTGATTGTATCACCAATAGCACAAGCAATACCCCGATAGACACGGCGGACGCGCATGCAAAGGGAAAAGCACCAGAAGGCAGTATTTTAAACAAACAGGCCTACTGAAATTAATCAGTAGGCCTTTATTTTTAATGTCGCTACAGTACGATTCGCCGCGAATCGTACTGTTGCGACACTGATATCCAGCCTTATTTTTAAATATGAGCGCTTTAGTGCCTCATAGTCGGCCCCTACGCCGTTCTTCGTGGTGTTCTCCTATGCTTATTCTTAGGGCCGTTGTTAGCCCTACTTTGCATTAACGACCAATAATGTCTACGTCTAATTCACGCCAACACAGACTAACACGGTGCTTTGTCAAGGAATTAAAGTCAACACGACACCTATTTTCGACTTACACGATGAAAGAGAGTTTCCATTGTATTGAAGAAATAAGGCATCAAAAAATTTCCAATTAATGCACGATGTCCTAGGACGTTGTATCACTATTCACGAATGCACCGCTTGATGAGGCAATTGACGTTTCATGCGCCCATGCGTATGAGACCCGTTTTCTACCGAAATATTGCGCGACCTTTTAAAACTTCACATGAAAAACGTTTATGTTCAATGGACAGCTATACAGACAAATTGATAGAGTGGCAAAGGGAAGTCCACTTGGTCCAAACTTAGCCGACAATTTTATGGGTCACTTAGAATAAAAGTTGTCAATTAAATTGAATATTAAAACACCACGAAAACGATATATGGACGACACTTTTGCTATTGGTGATAATAACGAGGAAGTCGAAGACCTACTTGTTGCTATGAAAAGTCTCCATCCGAAGGTCAAATTCACAACAGAAACGAGGCAGCGTAACAAGCTATCTTTCCTGGTTGTCCTCGTGACTAGGCAGGTAGATGGTTCAATATAGCGATCATTTTTCCACAGGTATACGTGGGAACATCGATACATACACCTTTTGAGCTCTGCACCGATATAACGAAAGCGAAATCTGGCTTGCAATTTTTCCAAGGAGCGAGAAACATTTGTTCCATTGCAACACTGGATACTGAAATTTTTGCCTCGAAACAGCCCTGCTTAAACGTGGATATCCAACACGGTTCATCGAAAAGTACGGTAACACTGCGGCGAAAGTGACGGAGCAATCAGTCCCGAAAAAGCCCGTTGTAATATCCTTACCCTTTAAGCGTGAAAACATCTCAAATACCATCCAGGGGCGATTGAGGTGCGCCATTGAAAGAACATATAATTCAGCTGAACTCATATTTTGCAGCCCCACTAAGACTATCCGAGTTGCACGGGCAAAAGATGCCTAACAATTACACGCCAAGTCGAATTGTGTTTACGAACTCGCATGTACGCCTAACGAGTGCTCTTTACTCGCATGAGAAATGGACACGTGCTACCGATAAAGGTTTCCCAGTAGATGTCATATTTTTTGACTACAAGAAGGCCTTTGACAGTGTCCCACACAGGCTTCTTTTACAAAAGATCTGGAATGTAGGCATTCAAGGGAGAATGTTTAAGTGGATCAGGAGTTTTCTGTCCTCCAGACTACAAAGCGTCGTCGTTAGTAATTCTACTTCGGAATGGGTAAAGGTGGAAAGTGGTGTCCCACAGGGTTCTGTCTTAGGCCTAGTACCCTTTGTGATTTATGTTAATGACTGCATCAGCGAAGTGAATTGCGAGGCTCTCATGTTCGCGGATGACCTAAAAATATGGAGAGAAGTCAAATGCGATGATGACGCAGAGAAGTTGCAGTCAAACATCAGCAAACTGTGTGCTTGGTCGAACAGATGGCTTTTGAAGTTTAACGTGTCCAAATGCGTGGTTTTGCACCTGAACACCGGTCGCAATGCCTCTCCCAAACACCAGTACTATATTGACGGGACGAGGTGAGAAACTGTGGAAAGACAGAGATCTGGGTGTATGGACGACCACAAATCTATCGCCATCAGAACACTGCAGAAAGATGTTCCAGAAGGCTACTAGTACTCTACACTGGATCAGACGTGCATTTAAAATATTTCCTCCCGAACTTTTCGAAAGAATCTTTGGCGTCTTTGTAAGGCCTCATCTAGAGTATGGAATGCCAGCAGTTTCACCACGGATGAGGAAGGATACCAACTTACTCGAACAGGTGCAACGCAGAGCGACAAAGATGGTCGACGGTCTGAAATAATTGTCTTATCACGAGAGGCTGAATTTGCTTGGCCTATTCCCTCTCTCTTATAGACAAATAAACTGCAGTCTACTCTGGACGCTCCGGATTGTTCGCGGCCAGGGTTGCTCATTGAGAGCAGAGGACTTCTTTGAGTTCACCCGTGCAAACCAACTACGCGGCCATGCATTCAAAGTCGGGAATGAGCGCACGCGTTTAGACCGGCGAAAATTTTCATTCAGCCAGCGGGTTGTCAGACCGTGGAACTCGCTTCCAAGTGAGATGGTGACGGCTGACACAGTTTGTGTGTTTAAAAGAAAACTTGCTCGTCTAGTTTTCGACAGAAATCGGCATGTACAGCATGACTATGCACAGCCAGTTTTGTAAAATCTGTCATATACAATCTTCCGCACTAATTTACTGTGATCCCATGCACTACCTTATGATTACGATTGAACTGTGACGCAATCACATTTTAAATGCCTGCAATTTTATTTTATTTTTGAGTATGAATCTGCGAAAGCACTGTACATAAATAGGGTCATCAAGGGCTCTGCCTGTAACCCTTCAATATACATACATACATACAATAATCGGCCAGCTCAGTTGAACACCTGCCTAAGTGGCTTTCAAAGCAGGAGAATAAGACTCCTCGCTCTTTTACCAAAAGCACCTCCTAAATAGCGGTCATTCGCTTGACCTCAAGGCATCTTTCCGAGTATTAGTTCGGGCACGAACAACTCGCATACTGCGATACTTGGAGGCAGCCAACATACGGCGAGAGGAACCCGACCTATGCCAACAGTTAGACCACGTGGCCGACCTCAGCTTGCCCTGGTAAATCTGAGCCCTTTGATTTGCGTTATCCCATCGGATGTTAACTGCTCTGTTTTCTTTCCTATGTTGCGTTTTCAAATTACCATTTTATTGTTTTATCTGTGTGCAGTATGCGAAGATACTGCTGTTTTTGTACTGATTTCCTCTGTGGAAGTTCAAATCTCTGTATCTTTTTTACTTTTTACCTGTGTCATTCAACGATAGGTCGCAGTGGATAAGCCGTAGCGAAATTTATTGCTGCCAATTAATCCTGCTGTCTACGCTTGCTTCAAATTTTTCGTCGTCTGATCACAGAAGCTGCCATCTTCTGCTTTGCATTGATCTGTCATAATGCAAATTTTAAATAAACGTACGTCAACAGCTTTATCGGACTATTTATCCGATGTCTGTTTGCCGACGGCACATTTTCAAGGCTCGGTCCGTATTTTTCGCTCATTTGCCGCCCATTAGTCAGTGGCCTGATTCCCTATCTCATAATTGCGTTGTACATTAATGCCAGGCCTTTGAGTCTGGATTCATGCAGATATAAGGAAACAGCAAATATTTAGGGCATTTGTTTTCTGCACAATTATATTGTTTGAGGTCTACTGATGATCACGTTTATCGCGGATGAATGTGTAATTACTTTTAGTGGACTGGAAATCGGGCGGGCAAAGACACTCATTGGCGTCTTGCGCCAGGTGGTTTGTCAGTTGTGGTTATTTTTACGGTCATTTCTTGCTTTTTAAATTTTCAAGTTTGAATTTTAAGTTCTCAAGTTTCTCGCGGTGTGACTGCTGGTCAAAATTCCATTTTGCGAAGACGTTTGCATAGTATATTGCAAGCGAAGCAGTGATGCTTAAATTACCCAGTACTACGTCATATATGCGGCCCGAAGCAGGTCCTCTTTTCCTGCTGACCGCCGCAGGCGGCCAGCTGATGGGTCATATAATCGAATAAGAGTGCAGCCAATATGGGATCTGTAATGTGCTAGTGTTTTCCCCCGAGGGTTGCTAAGTGTGAAATATAGCGTACACTGGGATGCAGTGTCCGGGAGTGCGCTGCTGAGCACGTCAGTTCCTCTATGGAACCCATGCATGTAAAAAGCAGGCGAGGCAGTCGTTCCGGAACAACCAAACAATGCATCCAGCCTCTGCATCAGGGCGCTAATTAAGAACTTTAGTTATTGGTCGTTTCTCATTTGCTGCACCTGACACCTCATCAGCCAGCGCATGCACGCCCTAGGGGACGCACCCTCTTGCCATGAGGCAGTTTGGTGGCGTCGACATTTGTGTCGACGGTTGGTGTTCGTCGGGTAGAATATTTCATTTAGGTAAACGCATGCCCATGTGCGAGGGTGAAATACCTCCAGGCAGAGAAGCACCGGAGTCACTGGCCTCTGCTGCGGATTCTTAAAGGAGAAATAAGTTAGACATTTGTTATCCCTACCGATCATGATGACAGCTGCGACATGGATCCTGTAACCCATAATGTTGGATCAGACTGGAATTTGGTAGTCCGTTTAGGACGTTGGTTGTCATTGGTAAATTCGTCGTTAACCATAATAATCTGCAGACCAAGAGAATATGCAGGGGTTAGGTTAATTAAAAGTATGTAAGCACGGTCTCCCTGCGCACTCAACGAATCAATAGCTGGGGGACTGTTAATTTGTAGAACTCATGGACAGCGACCAGCTAACGGCGAGAGGTAACGGTTATGCGACGGTATGAGCGAAAGTTACCGTCCGACGCAGTCGTTAAATGTCTAAAAACTCGGTTGTCGATGGTGAACCGCACTTACAGTCACTGTCACCAGTCATCGGTATCGCAACGTCCCCGGCGGGGTAACTTATGATATTGCGGATATAAAATAACTTACTATCCACTGTGACTGAATCCCCAGAGGAATTCATACCGATAAAAACTTACTTCGCATAGACTTAAATTGCGTAGACGGTCCACCCGTTGGGAGTTGTGGACCGTCGCAGTGTCCAGTCGGATGGACCGCCTATGTCGTGCTGCTATGACTACGACGGCTTCCAAGACATACGTTTCGATTTTTCAGAATAACTTTCGAAATGAGAGGAAGAGAAACTATTGAGCGGACATCTTGTCAAGTCACATGAAATCTAAACCGACTCAGTCGGTTATCTCCAGTCGTGTATGAATTCACGTGCACTTGTGGATGCAAGTACATTGAACGATTGCCCCCAAATTGGGACACGCGGTAGATGCGCCGAAGCAGGTAGGCTTTATCTAGAATGCAAACCCATAACGAATATCAGTACTCGGGGCAGTGGCAGGCCCATTTGCAGTCTCACGCCGCGCCATTCGGGATCCGAGTCGCCCCACATACTTGTTGTTTAGAATCCTGGTTATCATATGTTGTGGACCAGGGAGTGTGGTGGTACGTCTAGGTGTCAGTTTACGCTGTGTTAGCCACCTGCGGCCCCTCTCGCCTCCGGTCTTCATGACTCCGTCTTGACACGGGGTCCAGGTGGGGAAGCGGAGAGAGTGCTGTAGGTGCTGCGTAAGTCTACTATCACTATGAATAAAACCTCGCGGAAGTCACTGTCCCACCATGCCGTGGAGCACACAGCGTATCTCGTCGGATACGACAGTCGATGTTGATTTAACTCAAACACAGTTAGTCGATAGGCCAGTTGAGCATATGTCCGGGTGGCTCTCCGCTCGTGTGCCACTTGTACTAATTCATCCGGTACCATATTGCTGATTCACCATGTAATGACTGCCTGACCTTCAATGCAGTCCGTCGACAGCGGGCGCGCATGCAAGGTTGAGCCATTTGGCACCCGAGGCCACAGACCGAAAACCTGGGGGAGCGCTATGTGCTCCAAGTATACGCATCGCATGATCGAAACCTCCTAGGTAGCCAGGATAAAGAGCGCGGTTGAGCGGTTCGGCGCCTGACAAATCCTGTAGTCTTTCTTTAAAGATCGGATCGGCGCAATTAACTCAGGGAATGAACACGATCTACTAGGATGTCATTTTGGCTTTTGGGCCGTGGCGGCTGGTGAAGACGATAGATAAATCTCGTAATGCTCGTTGCATTTAAGTAATACCGATAGAGTTGCCGTCGTGGGGGCAGCTGACATCGGCAATACTGTTCATGCTCGCAACGTATTCCTCGCAAATTGAGTGCAAAATGTGTTTGACGTGCACTTTGTCAGTCACGTTGTCCACAATCTGTTTCTTGTAAACATTATCCTCATGGCTTTCGTTGGCTAGATTACGCATTGCTCATGTCTGCGGATCTCATTGGAGGACGAAGCAATGTAATCGCATGATGCTGCGAATTTGACAAGCCGAAAAACGGGATAGGGCAAAACCTTCAAACCAGGGAAGTAGAAATCTTCATGCACCTTGCACAAGGCGTCCAACCACAGTTATTTCCGTCTTCCTCTTGTCTCTGCCATTTGCACTTCCACTTTCACACGTTAGCAGTTCCATTTTGCTATTTTCTTTTCCCAGGTACCTAATTCCTTCCACAGCAACTTTTTATGCGAAAATAGTGGAAAATTAGTCAATTTTACATTTCCTCATTTTTCGCTCGGTCTTGTTAACTGCCTTTCAAGTCAAAACTATGTTTTTCTCCCAGCCAGCCATATAGCTCCGCCGGCAGACTTCACTATGTCGGCACGGAAATTCATCGACATTGGTGCGAATCTGACCGACTTAATGTTCTCTGGCATATATAACGGTTCTCAAAAACATACGGGTGATCTCAGGGAGGTTCTTTTGCGGGCTTATAACGCAGGCCTGGAGAAGATCATTGTAACCTGTGGTTAGCGCTTCGCCCTTTTCGATATTCCTTTTACTTGTCTGATTTCAGGTTGCTTGGAGGACTTAGTCGTCGCCAAGTCGCTCTGTGCCTCTGATGAGCACCTTTTCTTTACTGCGGGCATTCATCCGACACGTTGTCAGGACTTCGCGAAGGACCCCACTGCCTGCTATGACCAGCTGAAGAGCTGTATCAAAGACAACCCCGACAGGGTTGTAGCTGTTGGTGAATGTGGTCTGGATTATGATCGGTACTGATCCCATTCTTACCGTTCGTCTAGTATGACATTCGAGAGAACACTTCTGTCCCGCTGACGTGCAGAGAACGTACTTTGAGAAACAGCTGCACTTGGCACACACCACCGGCTTGCCCCTCTTCCTGCACTGTCGACGCGCTCACACAGACCTGCTGGACATCCTGCGGAAGCATATTTCCGAGTTTGGACCTGTGACCGGAGTAGTGCATACATTTGATGGAACTGCCGAGCAGGCCTCTGACTTCATCAATCTTGGACTGTACGTTGGTTTCAATGGGTGCAGCTTGAAGCTGCCTGAGAATTTGAAGGTAAACTATTGTTACTTTGTTACCCCAAATTTGTGGTAGGCGGCAACTAGGCGAAGTACGTTCTCCTAAGTACATTACGTATGCTATCTCATGAAATGTAAACCGAAATTATGAAGTGCTTCATCGTTTACAAAAGATAACCTAAGCAGGGTTGTAAGTTAGGGATCGTGCGGTAGACTCTCATGATATTTCAGTCACGTGAGAGTGCCAGCTTTTGAACGAGCATCTTTCCGACCGTCTGCAAAAATACACTGTAAAAGTAACTACTCGAGTAGTATGCATTTTTCCTCATTGATTTTTGATGAACTTTTATATTTAATTTTATTATGTGGAAAACATGCACAAAATGTCGGTTTTTTGCCCATCCGATAGAAAATTACGTATTCTTCAGATTATGTTTGAAGGAAAAGCATATTTTGGTTTTAATGAAGTTAGCATGAGATTTTTAAGACCGTGAAACGTCCATTTATGAAATAACGTTGTGTGTAAATTATACAATATGGTCCAAATCCACTGCAAGATTTTATTAATTTCACCCGGCATCTTCTTAGTAACGCATGAAAATGTGTTATATTGAGTGACCAATCTCATAAAATGTTGACCGAATTTCTGAAATGCGTTTTCGACTAGGAAGGATTACATGGGTTGGGTTGTAGTATTGATTATCACGCGACATAATTCTATAATATTTCGAACTCGCCAGAATGTTGGCTTTTGAAAGCACATTTACCTATAGAAAGTGCACCCGACAAAAAATAACTGCTTAAGTGGTATGCATTTTTATACCGATTTTCGATAGTCTTGTAAATTCAAATATATTTTATAGAAAGAATGCGCAAAATATGCTTCCTTCTACTCGTTTGGTAGCAAATCAGGTTGTCTTCACATTTTGAACCCGAGGTACGTTTCATTAAATACAGCGGATGTCAATCGAAATCCAAAAACGCGTTCTCGTCTCCAAAAGATAACCCAAGCAGGGTTGTAGTGTTGATGATCGTGCGGCGAAATCCCAAGATATTTCAGTCGCGTGTAGATGCCGGCCTTTGAACGAGCATCCTTCCGACCGTCTGCAAAAAGTACTTTGAGAATAACAACTCGAGTAATATGAATTTTTCTCGTTGAATTTGGATGCCCTCATAAATTCAACTATATTTTCTAGAAAACATACAGAGAAATATCCGTTCTTCCACGCATTTGGTAGCAAATTACTTCTTTAAATTTTATACGTGGAAAAAGAGTATCTTTCTGCTTTAAAAAGTTTCTAATGGTAGGCTTTTTAAGACCGTACAATGACTATTCGTAAAAAATCGTATCTCTAAATTTATTAAAGCATGCAATAAAGGTGAATACACTGCAAGGCCGTATGAATTCCATATGGTATCTACTCAATAGCCTATAGGAATGTACGATTTTCCTAGCACGAAGAATGCATAGTTTGTAGTCCTGAAACTCTGAATGCAAGTGAAAAGTCAAGTTGGGCTTAAAATTATTCTGAATCAGAGAGTTTTCAATATCGAATTATACTTTTAAATCATGTATAAAATTAAGGGAGACGTAATTTGCTACCAAATGGGTAAAAGGAAGAATATTTTTGGCATGTTTTCCAGAAAATATATTTCAGTTTATGAGGACGTCAAAAATCAATGTGAAAAATGCGTCCCACTCAGTCAGTTATTTTTTGCAGTGTGGTTTTTACAGACGATCGGTAAGGAAGTCCGTTCAAAAGCCGGCATCCTGACATGACTGAAATATCTTGCAATCCTGCTGCACGATCATTAATATTACAGGCCTACTTTCGAATCGAAAACACATTTCAGAATTTCCGTCAACATTTCATGAGATAGCACACCAACTGTAAGTTTCCAGCCGATATGATATCTGCAACCCACTCGATGCTCTCGGGAATGAAACAGCGTCTTGCATAACCAAAATGCCCGCATAATGCCAGCACTAAGAGGGTCGGATTTAGAATACAGCCTTATCTGGCATCCACGCCCTCTCCCTGTGCCCAAAACGGGAAAATCCCATTTATGCCATGCCCGTTTGTCCCAAAACTAATATCCTACGCCACGTGTGAGTTATCAAGGTATTTATCTATTAGGTTTTTAGTTAATAGCTCCTCGTCCTCCGCACTCGGCAGTGAGTATCTCCACCAGCTCGCGTCTTTAGCTTGAGTGGTGGGTGAAGTGCTGTATTGGGCGGTGCTCGGAAATGCTCAACGAATCCACGTCGGGGAATGCTGCAGTAATGTTGTTGGGTCTTTTCTTGTCGACAACTGCCGCTTATCAGCGTCCAGGTACCCGTCTAGCAGGCGGGACATGCCTCGATCCAAAATGGGAGCCTTAGTTTAGAGCCCCCTCCCCCTCCAACGGATGACATACGCGAACATCTAACAGGCTTACACAAACGCCCCAACTGTCATTCGTCTTAACGGTAGACTTCGTTTTCTAATTCTCCAAAAGGGCAAACAACAGCCGACGAGCGTTTTCTATCATTTTCAACTAGTGCGATAACGAGGTGGCGGTTGGTTTTGCAAACCTAAAATTAGCATTGTCAGACTATAGACACGAATGAAACAGGTGTTTTGGCTAGGCACTTTCGGGCCAGTTGTATTTATTCCTACCTACGGACCAAGCCGTTCTAATAGATAACTCGGGCAGAGAGCCCCAATGTTTAACGCTGCTACCTAACCTCCTCGGCGGTAGTGTTTAAAAATGCAGGCTTCCCACAGGTCCCTCTGTGCGCCATCTCATTAACCCCTCTCTCTGCGTTGAGGTGGTGGGCGTACAGTTTCACATGTCGGCGACTGGTCGGATTTTCTGCCGAGCCGTCTTGTTTTCGGCTCGCCTGAGTACTTGTGCACCACCAAAAGCTGATCGACGATCGTCCTCAAGTTGACGCACGACGGCGCTTGAGTTCACGTTTTCCCGTCTCACTACCAGCTCTTACTCCTGCTTTCGTGTTGTCAGACCCTTGTTGCTCCTTCCGAAAAAAAACCTGCCGGACACCTGCGGTCACTAATGCGGTAGACCACTGCATGTTGACTTTTGTTAGCCGTTCCTTGAGCTGCTTCAGTTGGTGGCGAGCCGTTGTCTGTAGTCAGTCAAGTTTATCGGCCTTATCAAGCGTCAGAGGCTTCTAGGCCTCCTGGTGTGTACCAAAGGCACGAAATACCCAGGATATGGCTGTCGACCCTGTCTTCGATAGAAGGGTATTCGTTGGAAATTAAGACCCCGGGAATACCTCCGACCCCGCAACTTTTAATAATTTATACTGCAATCTTCGTTAATCCGTCGAAAAGTCATCCGTGCGCAGCTGCGGTTTTTTGTTAGATGATTGTTGTCCTAGTGGAGCGTTTTGCAGCATTTGTTGTCTTCCGATAGATTCCAAGTGCGAGGGCTTCGCCTTAATTCTTTGAAATTAGGATGTCCTGTAACGAGATTTGTCCATGTGGAAACGAATGCAGTCATTCTTATAGAGATGACGGCACAATAGACGCGTATTGACGCAGACTTCGACCAACCGTAGAATCCTTTGTTGGACACTGTCAATTAACTAATTATTTTTGCACACCACCCATAGCCAGACGACCACCTGGGGGTGGGAGGGGACTGTCTTGAACATTTACGCAATAAAAGTTATTTTCCCCCGGCAAATTTCGTCCGAGTGCGTTGCCTCTAGAAATTCACGGTCTTCCTTTATTGGGCAGGCGCCGGCAGATTTGTGCCCAGTGCCCATGGACACTTTGGACATATGGCCTCCTCTCTTCACCGCTAGCTGGTGTTCACGTATACGCGCGGAGGCAGACTTTCTAGTTTCACCACAATAGACAGCATCACGAATGACAAATAGGACCTAGTAGCTAGCACTCATTCTACCAAGGTAGCCAACCCTGTCCTTCAGTTGTACAAGCTGTGTGCGTAAGTTAGTTGGTGATCGGTGTATTATCTGTATCTTAATTTTTCTTCAGGTGTCTTTCGACAAGGTCAGATAATTTTTCACCTATGAAACATGAGCGTAGCATTGAAAATGCCTTTCTCTCTCACACTTGATGTTTTATGCATTGAAGCATAAAGTCAACGGTGTACTTGCTTGAGGCAATAATTGGAAAAGGTATCTAATTCTGCTCGAGTTAGCAGGCTGTAAGTACAAGTCCGTTTGTGAGTTAAAAGGCGAGATCACACCACTTGATACCATTATCTCGTCGGGTTGCAACTTTGCTTCTTTAGAATTTGTCTGTGAACTCATGTAGACCTTCAGTGTGAGCACTGGATATCGCCTAAGTAGCAGCTGGCTGTTAGACATGACTTTTTTGACATCGCACTCCAAGCCTCTGTCTAAGCAGTCGATTGTCGTTGAAGGTAACAACCGCTCAAGTCTCTCCGCTTCTCTTTGGTATTTTTTCTAGGTAGTCTCGGAGGTGCCGGTTGAACGCATTCTTCTGGAAACCGACGCACCATGGTGCGACATCCGGCCGACTCACGCAGGTAATTCCTCATCCTTGACTTCTCACTACTGTTGCTGCCTTGCAGGTTACCAGTACGTGAAGACAAAGTTTGAACGGAAGAAGCCAAACAAATGGGACGCCAAATGCATGGTTGCGGGCCGGAATGAGCCAGCCAATATTGTACAGGTGCTGGAGGTCGTGGCTGCCGTTCATGGCATCTCCGAGGATGAGCTGGCCGAGACGGTCTACCAGAACACACTCACTGCCTTTCCGCGTCTGGCACACTAGCAAACCGTCCCCTTTCCTGCACCCCCTTCCGCCTCCTCTCCCCTCACCTCCAGACGCCCTATTTCCCCTCTTTCGGGCGTCTGGATAGTTTGTGTAAATATCCTAAGAGTCTGTGCAATTACAGTGTGTCTCGGGAGTGGAATTTTTTGCTTTCAATGATTGCGCCTACCGGCCGGTACAAGGTATGCGTTACGGCGGCTGTTTCGGACGCACTGTCTTCATCAGATCCGCGGTTTCCCAATACAGGCTGCCGATAACTTGGATTTTAAGCTCTCCGCGGGCCTGATCGTTTCTTACCAATACCGCCCTCAATTATCGGGTGTTGTGGCTATGTGACCGTCTGTGGAAACTCTAGTCTAGAGGTCAAAATCGAGTCTGAACTCCTTTGTTCCGCTCTTTAATCGGCGCACATGAGTGGACGCCACTCCTATGTGGCCTGTAGGGACTGGGAGTACGGCATTCGGGTATTTCGTCGTCGCCTGGCCTACGATGGACTGCCAAACCAAATACTTATTCATGTTGGCCTACAGAGTCCTGGTCGTATACCGTGAATGCCTGGGATTATATGAGGCCGTCCGTCATTCTATGCTGAAGTCCTTCAGAGAAGGCAGGCAGCGTGTAGGAGTCGATGCTCGAAGTCGATTTTGGGCTGCTTCCTCTTCCGTGTCACCTGGTTTCGACTTCTGTTGTATCATGTGTCCCCTAAGCATCGCGTAAGCTGTAAGTTATGCCGTCGGGAACCAGTGTCGGACCCCATCTGAGAATACGTTCGGCGGGAAAACCCCGACCTATGCGAGCAGCTAGACTACGTAGTCAAACTTGGTAGCCCCCAGTCCACTCTTTTCTCATTTATCAGTCTGTGCGCGCTAGACAGCGACCTCCCTGTTTTGCGTTTTCTGCCTAAATTCATTTGATGTACGCTTCTTATTCGGATCAAAGTCCTTATGTATGACAGCCTACGTAGTGGGGGTGGGGGGTGGGACGCTTTTGACATGCGGGCCCATCCCCTAGCCAACGCTGTATACACCTACCGCATTGCTGTTGGCATCTAGGCGCACGCTGAATATAGTCAGCTTCTGGGGTAGCTTTTGTTTCTGACATGTGAATGTTCGACAGTCGTCCCCACTTTGCACGAGGCACGTGGGGTCTCACACAAGCACTGGTCCGAAGTGGTGCAATTCTGTGCTTACCCGTAAACTGAATATTGTGCTTGAATGGATGACAACTAGTCACTAGCCTGCGATAAGGAATCATGCTCGTCATTGTAGTCCAGGTCAGCCTACCACGGATCTCAATCTGGTGCTCAGTGATGGTTCGTCTGCGAACCTCTTCTTAACAATTGCTCATGATGACATGCGCAATGAAGGCTTAGTATTACTATTTTGACTTGGCTGCTTAGTTATCCTCGTCCCTCATGATGTTGCTGTTGTCAGTTAAAATCCTGGTCAATTATTGTGTGGCCCAGGGGGTGTACGACGGAGCGCCAGGTTCGGACTCAGCCGCGCCATCTACCTGCGCCCTCCCCCGCCTCCGATCTTGACTCTGTTTTGACACCGGCTCAGGTGGAGGAGGAGAGAGTGCGGTAGACGCGGCGCAGTTCTGCATTCACTATAAATTAATTCACGCGCAAGCCACCGTGCCGGCTTCACCTTGCTCTGGAGCACGCGGTGGGCACCGTCGAATGCGACGTCCGAACTTTCACTTGGCATTGGTACGACTTTGATCATGCCTGATCTAGTCGGTATCGGTGGTGTCATCAGTTGTAACTCTGCGACAGCGGACCTGAAAAGCTCTCAGGGCGATATCATCAGCGTAGTCAAGATCAGTCAGTCAGCGTCTGGGTGCAAACTCGGTTGCGATCTTCTCGAGGCTCCAGTTAGTCACGTAGTTGGATAGAGTGGCCAACATGATACAATGTCGGATGTTGGTTGGGATACCGAACAGTTGGGACAATTTGTCATGGACCAGAACTCGCGCAGTACGGAAGCGATAGAAGGCATTGATCAAGGCGATGATCTTGGCCGGCACCATCTAGTTCCATTATCTGCCACTGACTGACGACGGACAGAATCGACCGCAGCAGCGGAGTCAACACAGCAGACAGCCGTAGGGTATAAGTAACTATGAGGGGATTCAAGAATACGCGTCAGTGTGTATCTCTGGTGCGGTAGTCCACGCTGAACATGGAATCCTGCTTGAATGCGCTTCGTTATAGATTCGCTCACAGTCTAGGATCGCCTGTGGAGGATAAGAGCGAAGACCTTTGCAGCAGAGACGATAAGGGTTATACTGGGATAGATCATGCATATTGTCATTTCTACCTTCTTAAGGACGGTCACAAGGATATCTGAGCCACACTCCACGCTAGCTCCATCACATCAGTGTCAGGGCATCCGAATGTTGACACATGGCCTGTATATTTTTCGGGAATACCGTCCTCTCCGGGTAACTTACTGTTACACAGCCTTTGCACCGCACCAGATACTTCTTCGAAAGGGGATCGCACGACACTGCACAGGTTTGAAAGGGACGAAACTCATCAAAGGTGAGAAGGTGCTGGATGTGTTCATGCTATAGTTTTATCTTGGTCGTCATTCCCGTCGTAAAGAGTCTCGCAGTTCGGAGGGCCTACTACTAACTTGACAGACATTTTGGTACAGCCTTCGAGTGTCAACAACGTTTGAGGCCTGCTCCTTGAAGGTCGCTGTTTCAGTCCAATGTTTCTGCCGGTCATCCCTAAGCGACTTGACTGTCATTTTCCAGGGTTTGTGGAAGGAATCATTATTGCCGTACTTGGCTGAAGCCGTCTGAGCAGATTGCTGCAGGATTCTTCCGTTAGTCTAATCACTGCCGCTCTGTTAGGTGAATTCAAGAACTTTCTCAGGTGCCCCATATACTTCCGTGTAGACCACTGGAAACTACCTGTTCGTCACCCCAGTTCGTAAAACGGAACGGATTTCTGTGCTCAGAATCTCAATATGAGATTCAGGAGTCTCGTGTGTGGCATTTTCCAGGGCAGCTGGCGGGTGCGCTTCCAGGCATGGATAGAAATACTGCAGTCGGACATCTCCATAAGGGTTCTTGAGGATTTTAGTTAAGGCAAGTCCCCAGCAACAGCTTCGATTGTTTGTTTACTGTTGTCTCCTCTAAAGCTGTCGCTCGAGAATCCAGCCACAAAGCAGCGATTTCTGGCAAACTTGTTGAGGGCGCACACTTCGCCATGTCACAGTGCCACCACCAGTCTATGCGGCAACTTATGAGACAGTCGGCGTGTCAGACCTCAGTCTTCTGCACCCAGACGCCACAGTTGCTGCAGATCCAGGGCTACCTATTCAGGTGGGGCTCGGAAAGGCGGTCCTGAATGCTAACAATTTATCCCTTTCGTATTGTTTTCGATTTAAGGTGCTTCGCGGACTGCTGCGGTTATGAATCACAATTGCGCTTGCAGTTTCGCCTTACATTAGTGTTAGGGCTCCGACAAGGTTTAGTATTGTGTAATGCCAAACATGTCTTTCGCCCAGGACGCTCCAGCCAAACGAGTGTTTTTTACTCGAACGAGAGGTGGACAAGGTCTACTGATAAGGGTTATCCCGTGGACGTCATATTTTTTGACTTCAAGAAGGCCTTCGGCAGTGTCCCACACAGGCTTCTTTTACAGAAGATCTGGGATGTAGGAATTCAAGGAAAAATGCTTAATGCATCAGGAGTTTTCTGTCCTCCGGAGTGCAAAGAGTTGTTCTTGGTAACGCTACCTCGGAATGAGCAAAGGTGGAAAGTGGTGTCCCACAGGGTTCTGTTTTAGGCCTACTACTCTTCCTGATCTACGTTTATGACTGCATCAGCTAACTGGATTGCAAGGCCCTCATGTCTGCGGACGACGTTAAATTAGAAGTGAAGTCATGTGTGATGATGACGCAAGGAAGTTGCAATCGAACATCGGCAAACTGAGTGTTTGGTCAGATGGCATTTAAAGTTAAATGTGCCCGAACGCGTGGTCTTGCACCTAAACGCCGGCCAAACTAACTCTCCCAAACACCAGTAATATATTAATGACCAGCCTTTCATCGACGATATGCTGACTTAAGCACGTGTTCTGTGAACACACTTCATTCATCTTATACTGCAGAGCACTTTACAACAGAGAGCGAACAGTTAAAATTCGTCGTCTGGATTAGCTGGCAGGGGTGACGGACAGTCACTAAGATTTCGGATGCTAAAATGATTAAGAAGCTTCCAAAGTCTACTCTGTCGCAACCATCCGCACTTATGCCAAAGAAGCTGACCAGATCGGTAGTTTTTTGCAGTTAGGAGGCGACAACGAAAGACTGCCGCCGAGGTATAAAGCCCTGTCGCAAACTCGTTAACTCAATGAAAATCTTTTTTTTGCCCCGGCTGGCATGTTGGCCATCTACAAAAGATTATGGGGGCGCCGCGCATCATTGATTCCTGCGGACCATGTTAAAGCACCTTGCCCTGCAGCCGGACAGGTGTGTCACCGACTGTCTGCAGGTACATCGAGTCCCCGGTCGAAATGCTCCAAAAGTCTAGGTGTTAAGGCCGCAAACCAGCAGGCGCTGTAGTAATTTATTGCTGAGATAGTTAAACGCTGGTTCTGGGGTATCTGCTTGTTCTTGCTCTGGCTGTCAGGGCCGCTCGGCAAGAGAAGTCAGTTCCGGCTCTGTGACTATCCGATCACGCTGCTGATGGATGCAGCCGCCGTCCGGCTGCAAATCGCACGGAACATTGGCGCGCAAGCACCTTGGGGTCCGTTTCATGTGGGCCTTGCCAATGTGGATTTTGCCAAAGGCCGCATTCAGAGAGTCCTTTTCTTCATTTAGCTCAACATGTAGACGTCACTGCCCTGTCGTGCACCTCCAAATTCTGAATTTTTCACTGCATTTCACGGTTTTTTGTTCATTTTTCTTCTAAATCATTTAACAGGGATTGCATTTGAATAAGGCGTACGTTTGGTTGATCACTATCGCACGGAGCTTACCTCACCCGGACATTTTACTAGGGTCAAATTCAGGCGGGGGAAACGGGTAGGCTACTTGTCACATCCAGGCGCACAGGTAAGTAAATTGGGCTTATGATGTTAGGTATCTTATTTTTTCAACACATATCGTGTTATATGTTCCGCTCGAAATAGGATCTTTGGCCTATTTTAGGGTAATTGCCCCCCATGGTTAGGGTGTCTAGTTTACTTATGATTAGTAGACCCGAAAAACAGAAATGTCGGTGGATTGGGAAATTTACCTATTATATAAAATTTAAATTTATAAATAGACTTCTGAAATAAGTGTACAAAAAGTTAAAGCAAGAGTAATCTTGCTGTAGATGTTGCTATTCAGTACCTCCAGTGATTGAAAGTCTCTCTCAGTAGTTCTTTACCCGAAACCAGTAATTTTCAATGTTGTTTGTATGGACACCTGTCCCAACATTGACAAATGAGTGTTGAACCCAAAAATAAATATGTAATAAAGTTCGATGTTGATATTTTATGAGTGCTATCGTGTGTCCTATGTTTGGGCTGGTGATTGTATGGAAAAAATGAGGCGATGGACTTAAAGCCCGCTGGATCTTCCAAATATTGCCTTCAATCCCCAAGCGCCGACACTCGCGTTTTTGTTGCCCACCACCGCCTCTCTCACTCGATCACACCTTGTCTTTCCCTTATTAAAAATCGTTAAGGCCTTTTACAAACCCTTCTCATTTTGCGTATACCAATTCACTCCTGTTTCGGATAAGTAGTAATATTTCTCCATAACCACGACGTCGCCTTACTTCTCCATATATTTTTACATACCACTCGAACCGTCAGTTCATGTTTACCTTCAACTCCGAACTGTGTGTTAGTACATTTCGGCACTAACGTATTTATCTCTATATTCCATTCCATCCCCAGCCGAAATAGTATTTATCGACAGTCTATCCCTCTCTGTTTACTTTCTTGTAAATCCACACCACACGAGCTCTTCGTCTTGCGGACGTCTCTTTCTCACCGATAGACATTCGGCAGCGATAGTTAAGCTGCATATCGGCCTCCGACCTACCACCCTTGCTCTCCTGAAATCTCAATTTGAAGTTGATGGTGACTGAAATCTACACGTGGAACTATGGCCACGCCGCCTATTTCCGAACTGCCTCCTCCAATCCCTGCTTATTCTGTACTGGGACAGCCAGCTCGTCGACGGTTCGCCCCTCGGCATGACCTCCTCACCAAAGGCTCTTTGCGACTTTGGGACGGTTCAATTACTTTGTTCGCTCGAGGACAATTCTAAAATTTGCCACATAATTGTTTTTTTTTTACACGCTTGCTGGATCCCGTGGGACCGCCAAGTGCGCTGACACACTCCTCGCATTGGCTTGCAAGGTATATCGCAACACGGACATCGGCGCTATTCGTCATAGGGAGCGAAACTAGAGTTTCAGTTCCTCCTCTTTGACTTGACAATTGACCGCGCCTTTGAGGCCCACCTACACGATCCCAGGACCGATACTCAGTCATTCTCACAACCACGGCTTCTTGGGGACGCTCCATATTATGCATCCTTAGATTGCTGATACCGATGGCGGTACAGGGACCGTGGGAGGCGATGCGTTCACAACCGAAAGTCAGTTAAGTCCCCGTAATGTGACATCTCTCTCTCTCTCGTCTACGACGCCTTCCACACTGACCCAATCGTGTTTACTATCACTGTCGCCCTCCATAACTGCGCGTCAGTGTGTTTCATCCCCCAATCCTACCGCCACACGCCTACAGATCCATCACCCGTCCAAACATACGCTTTATCGAAACCAATGGTCCCAAAGTCGGTCTCCTCCTCCTGTACAAATGCGAACTCTGCGTACCATGTCGGTACCCTTGGACTTTACGTTTGACACTGTCTTTGGCTTTGAATTCTTACGGGCACATTCGCTTAGTATTCCCATCACCGCTTCCACTACGGCTGTCTTCCAACATCTGTCGTCACCTGTCTCTGTTTCCATTGATGTCCAATCCATTGGCACAATCCCTCTGACAACAACAGTGACGGTTGGTGCCTTCTTCTTTAGAATGTGACGGTAGCCTGACGTACCGTCCTCGAAGACACCCGCTGCACACAGTTTTCGTGCCGGCTGAACAACCTATCAGGCGAACCTCGTTGATCCAATATCGGATAAATACTGACGCCATCCCTTACAGCACCAAACAATTTGGTCTCATGCCCATTCATTATTAAAATGAACTAGTCTCTGGTGGCATCTGCGTCCTTACCCAGGAATTATTGACCCCGTGGATCGCTCCAGTTACGTTTGTGAAGAGGGAGGCCGGTGGGTTATTGTCGGATTTAGATTGTCGCAACTGGAAGGGTTGGCGACACAATTGCTTCGTTGACTGCATCTCCTGGCTCACCCATTCAGACTTTTCACTGGGTTTTAGCAGATAGAAGACCGTCCTAAGATTGCGTATTTTCTCGACGCGGGTCTAGTTCAACATCCACGGGTCGGATCGACGCTATGGCCACGTGTCAGTGGTCTATGCAACAGGTTTTTTAATGCGTATTTCCGCGCGTCTGCCTTGCGTGTCTTGACGGCAAACCCCTTGATCATCTGCATCACAGTCAACAAACAGTTCTGAAATGCATACAAACTTCTGGTGTCACACCAGCGAATGTCTGCTTAGGTCCAACAACGATTCAGCACCACGCGAAAAGAGATGCTAGCGTAGGTTGCGTTTACCAACAAGTTATATCGTTCTCCTCTTACTGAATACTTTTGTCCCTACGGATGATCGAGCGCTGAAATGGCTAAGTAAATTTGGAGCAGTCGAGGCAGAAATTGCTCTGTAATGTTGGTTTTTTGGAGTGCTCTATTTCAAGGATTAATATCGGCCTGAAAGCCGTAGCGTAAGTACCGATGCGCTGTCTTGACCACCTTCGTCACTCCTGGATCTTCATTACATTTTCTCCTGCCCAAGTTCAATTGGCTCAACTGCAGGCGTCTGATCCTGGCAATTCGCTCATCTACGATCAGCAGAAACACTGCATAACAGAACTCTGCGTATGAGGTGGGGGTTCCAGGTGGGTGATATCGCCTTCAACTCGTCTGATCAGTGACGTTTTCTCTCCCCGGAGGCGTCGTCATTTAGATCCTTAACCACAAGGCCACACAAGAGGTTTACTCGTGCTAAGTAGACCTAGAATATAATTTCCGCCGGTAACGGTTTTGGTGACCCAAACAGCAGCATGACTTCACTTCGTCGAACCCGTGTACCTACGTCTGGAATAAGGACCTCAGGAACAGACGTTATATTCACTTAGGACGAAGGAAGTCCAGTTCTCCATTCTACCGGATTGATCTGGATGTCGTCAGACCACTATTTTAGACTCGGAAAAGCAATCGTTTTACCTCGGTGGTTGTCGACTGTTTCCCCAGATAGTTTGAGGTCATATCCCTCCCTCACCATGAATACCTCCTCGTAACAACAACACTATTTGAGCATGGAGTAACTAACTACACACCCCCTAACCACACACTGAATGTGGCGCTTCCTTCAAGGGCCACCCATTCCAGGCTCGTTTCAATGGTTGCGGCAACATCTAGACCTGCTTCTCACCCTTCCGTTCAGCGCGCACTCTGATTCGTTCTCTGTAGTATGGTCAGTCGATCGCCTGGAGACTCTGGGATGACCGCCTTCCGCAATGCCTACTGGCTTATTGCGCCCCAGCCGCCCCCCTCGCTTATCTGCTTCCTAAATGTTACTTTGGCCGTGATCCTCGCTTTACATCCGAACCCACTATGTCAGACAGTTTGTCCGTCGCGACTGACGAAGTCCACTGTGTACAGCATTGAATGGACACATTACCTGTGACTTCCGCGCGAATTAGTTTGCGGCGAGGAAGACTTGTACAAAGTCTACTCCACCCTCACCGAACTGGCTCCAATGGCAAGACAATTTCAAGACAATCGGAGATGAGCTCAGGAGCAGGCGACCTGCTCACTACAGCGTGTGCCAGGCCTTCATATGGGCGGCACCGATTGCACATGCTTGAACGTGCCATACAGGCCACATTGCGAAAAAGCCATCACAGTCCGCCTCTCAGTCCAAGGAAGGACCGAGGTATCCCGTAAGTTGACAATGCTCCAGGCCACGACCCGTGGTGCGTTGCGGCAAATTCATGCGCGTCGGAGCTACTGTAGTGAGGAATGCGTTGGTGTGCCCCAATGTCAGCATCATTCTTTTCTCCCCCTATTCTCTCCCCTCCATGCACCACTCGCCTGTCGGAGCCTGCCAACCATCGGGTGCTGGGATTGGGCGTCATGAGGTCTACGTCTAGACATGGCTTTACACGTCCCGTGTACAGTAGTAGTTGTTGACTAGCATGGACTCTGCACAACCCGTTTAGCACGTGGCATTAGCCAGTCTGACCTCTGTTTTGGTCTAACGCATTTCTATTTCACGTCCCTCCCCCGCATTCAACTTAATCCATATCTACTCAGCTCGGCTGACTCCCACCAAGCCACACACCCTACAATCAGAACGAAATTACAGACACCCAATTTTCATAAGGACTACTGCGATCGTATGTCCCGCGGCACTGATTACGACTCCTCCCCCAATGGGTACAGCAGGCAGATTTCACCATCAAACATAAAGTTCCAATATTTCTTCCCGTCCCCTCCTACTCCGCCTTTTCCCCCTCCGTACACTTCAATTTTATTCAAATTGATATAACCCACGTGATCTGCCACATTTCCCCAGCCCGCCACATTCCATGGAATCCCCAGCCCACCCATTCATTATGACGCCCCATACACCACCATTCTGTCCTTTCCGCACAATTCGCGCCGAGAACTGCGTTCTCTTCTCAGAGTGGGTGTCTGTCACGCCCACCAAACCGAACAAGTTGATAATGGTTTGTAATGCCAGTTGTTCCTATTTCTACGGCACTGGTCGCTTCGTGGGTTCCTCTGGAAACAGCATAACCTAGGCAGTCTCCCAATCCCCGCCCCCCTTCCCCGACCGCGAACGCACACGTTTCCATTCTTAACAACTATTCCACACGGTTGGCCGCATTTCTTATTACGTGTACCAACTTCTCCTCACTGGGAAATAGTAATAACCTTTTTCCGCAATTACTACCGCGTTTTGTCATAATCTCTTCTCGGCGCATTTTTACACCACATCCACATCATGGTAGACTTGCTTTTGTTTTCACTTTCGTTGGCGTCTGGCTCTTGCCATGTGAAGTAGACAGGTATTCATCTGATCACTGTTTTTTTCCAGATATTGTGCGAATGATTAGCAGAAATGCAAACAACTCCTTTTCTGCCTTCCAAACGAGTGTTGATGATGCATGGGAAGCCGACGATGACGAATATCTCACAATATCCAAGTCAGGTACCGCGTTGGGTTTTTTTTTGAAAATCTTTTCTAGTTGCTGAAAAAACAGCCCAGGCAGTTATCGAATCGCATACAAATGAAGTAAAGGTGAGTTATTTCACGTCCTTTACTTCATTTGCTTACCCTATCCCACAACCTGGCTCATCCTTTACGTCAGCGGCGGGCTTGGCGGTCCTTTTCACCGGGAGTCTCCTTGCTTATTTATTTTGAATGACATTTTGGGGACTCCCACTCAATCTAAGTGGTTAATAAACTAGCCAAGTCCAATTAGATGGAAGCACAGGAAATGTTACGGAGCAGAAGTTTAATGGTTTCCTTTTGGTAGGGGCGCTCACCGATCGTTCTTACGGCAGTCTCTCGTTCCGTTGCGCCTTACGGGCTCTCCCTCGAGCCCCAACCAGCAGCCGCACAGTGGCGCATGATATAGAAAGTATGTTATTGCCGACAAAGACGAGGGAGACTGGAATGGCCATTTCTGGCTTATTAGCCGTCGTCGGCCAGTCATACCCAATCCCGAAGTGTGGAACACCCGAGCCTCGAACTCGCGACCTGTTAGTTAGAAGTCCACGCCTCTAACCACTGGGCTACGAGCCCGTTGCCCAGTCGGTTTTCGATCGGGAATATACATTGGTAGGGCGTGCTCACCGATGGTTTTCTTGTCTGCACTTGTGGATGGATGATGAAATCACCAGACCATCGCTGCTCGAATTTTATCTTTTTGTTAGACACCGGTGACGACGTTCGATCTCGCCTTTTAGTCATTCTCAATATGCCCTCTGATCACACGCTCTCAACTTAGCACGCCAATTGGAATGTCATGTCACTTTTAATTCCGCATTCTACAGAAGACGGTCTTGCGAATGATAGATGCTTATTGGCACTCGTGGCTCAATTAATATGCAGCAAACATTTTCACTTCCCCTCACTGCACAGCTGCAAGGGCTTCAGCTTACCAACGGTTTCCCCAGCGATGACCATGTGGTCACAAGATGAGATGCGTTTTCAAATCACTTGTGTAGTTTTGTCCGAAATTCGTGTGAAAACTCAGACCGACAGCCTAGTAAACAGTGACAAACTTAGATTAATGAGAAACTGGCAGGAGTGGGCCTTTTCATGGTTCCTTATCATCCATGAATCTGACAGGCACCTAATGCCTGTTACTTTGACTTTTGGCTGACTGAAAACATACCACTTGGGGTTAGATGTCTGTTCACTTTGTGGACCTTACGTCCTTTTGGAGCACTACATTCTGCAGTTTTCTTTGGTAAACAAAACGTTTTGCTTCGTACCCATTTATCCGCACTCAACTGTGATACCTGACCATAAAAGTGACTGGTTTCCTCTCCCGTAATTCTCTGGGACATGTTCACATGATAGTTAATTACTTCTTCAAATTTGATGCTGGAGGGAAGGGTGGTTTTCGGCTTTAAAAAGTCTGACTGTGATCTTTTACTACCGTGAGGTGTCAACGCATGGAGCATCGGAACTGTATGTTTATTTATGGGGTTTATGTAGCATACAAAAGGGTTCGCTTCACATTCATTACACAATTGTACGAGCCGTCTGCGACATCTTAATAGTTTAGTGAACTATGTGATTTCCCCCACGCGGAAAGCTCGCAGTACGTAGTTTCGCAACCCTAAGCCCAGGTGCAACTGCAGGTTGGGTTTCGAGAATTTAAAAAGTTTTATAAAACCCAAAATGCGCCCATTCTCTGAGAATATAATTTTAAAAAGACGTAATTTTGTGCAAAATGAGCACATGAAAACATATTTTTGCGCCTGTTTAAGTAAAATGTATTCGAATTTATGCGGGCCTCGAAAATTAGTGGAAAAAATGTCATACTACTCTAAGGTTCATTTTCTACTGAGTGCAGTTTTTGCGGATAGCCGTTAAGAGGCTCTTACAAATACCGGCGTCCCTGTATGCATAAATTACATTGAGATTCTGCCTCGTTATAATCAACGTTACAATCCCACCCAAGTAATATTTTTTGATCGAAAGCACATTTCAGAATTTCATTTGACATTTCATGAAATAGGTCAGCCGCTGTACCCCCATACCATTGCTACTCCCCTCTATCATAGGTAGACTTCAAAGCCACGGCTTTAGTGGCTGATCGAATGTGTTCTCGCCTACTGTCTACTGTCGTTGTATCAGGGTGCCATGGCCTTGTCATTATTCCAGGACCTTTTGTCATACGGCCTTCTTCCGCGCAAAATCTAGTCGCACTCTACGGAGTGAAACAATAAAGTCTTGATTGCTTTGCTAGCTCAGTTGCCAATGTAGACATCCGAAGAGGATTGGCCTGACGGTCTAGACATCTAGAATGCTCGCCTACCAGCCTAAATAACAGTATTTCACCATATTTGGGGCTTTCTCCGCAAATGGTAATTTAAGCTGCTCTGCCCTTCATTTCAGGGCATACGGCGACCAATTATGGGAACCTTCAAATCATCACCAAATACCTCCGTGAAACAGGCACCTGGCTGCGGTGTTCGCCTCTCGGCTGCCAACGATTCTGTCCTAACTTTGAGTCAGCCCTCCGTCGAGTGTCGAATAGCCAAATTTCAGTCCGTAATAAATTCTCCCGTAACTGACCTTCGTGAGTGAACAACCGATTCTTCACCTAATGCACTTTTTATTCTGTACTTTGGCGCCAATTGCGTTTGCTTAGTGCCTACTATAAGCACTCTTCTATAGGTCTCTTCAGCTATTCATGCTGAGAAGTATTCTGTGTCTCAGCCGACATACTGCTCGTTATTGCAGCCTCAACTTTCAACTTGTTCCTCCACCGTGTCAAAGTCTTGAAGCAAGAGTACCGCCACCAAAAGCCCTGTAAGATTTGCTTACAAAGTATCGGGATCGGGGGGAGGCGGGTTTGTCCGTCTTATGTTCCCTTTCTGAGCGCTTTGGCATGTTTGAACTTGACCGTGAGACGATAGACGCGTGTTGGCTGTGGTCTCCGTATCCGGGCGATATCTGCTTCCCGGGAACGGTCAGTTTTTCAGGCTTATGGCCGTGATAGCTCACCGGAGTAGCTTGCGGCCATTTCACCTGTCACAGGGGGTTTTCGCGCCTATTCCGCTGTCGGTGGTTTGCGGTCCGATTAAAAGGCTAACCACTGCCATCTCAGGCGGTTTCAGTGTGTACGTGGTGCAGAAATAAAACCGGAGCAGACCAGGCTTCTCAAGGTCAAGGTTGACCACTGCCTTCGAGATTACGTTGCTGCACTCACCTCCGTCCTTAACGATCTCTGTTGCTGATACTGGAGCGAACTAATTTTGTCGACCAGAATGCACTCTCGTCCTACATACGTCTGCTTTCTCGCTTTCCGCAGCTCTCCCTGAATCCTTCAAAACGCAATCAGGAGATGAACCATTATCTCGCCCATTCTTTCCTGCATTTCGTACCACCTGGCTTCCAGAGAGAGGCGTGCACTGTAAACGGCCTCTTGCGTAAGTCGTCGTTGCCTTCCCCGGCAGTGATGATTCTCAGCTAGTGCGATAGGCGAAAACGGGCGGTCTTTCATGATCTGCGGCGGAGGCTTCGCCTTTAAGTGGCAAACTTGGTTGGATATTTAATGCGATCCGGGGACGAACTGAGGTTGTCTGAGCACCCTCCTCGTCGTCTGGTCAGTGTTGCCGTCGAAGCGTAGGTCCACGTAGAACTTTGTTCGGCGCAGTTTGCCAAGGCATGCCAGTGGCTCCTCGACTTTCAGTATTGGACTTCCGTCTCTGGAGGGAAGAGAATGGGTCTGGGTTTTCCAGATGCACTGCCGCAGGTGGTCATGCGTGAAGGGGTACCGCTCGCGGCATGCTAGAACACTGGATTACTTAAGGCCCAGTGACTAAGCAGCCCGGGTTCAGATTCCAGGTTGTCCAGACCTGCGGTTGGGTATGTCTGCCCGACGCTAGTTAGTAAACTGGAAGTGTCCATCCCAGCGTCTCTTGTCTTTTGTCGGGATTCCTTTTTCCGTCATTGCTCGCACTAAGCGACTGCCCGCAAGGACTCTAAATTGGTCTCAAAGACACAGCAGGAGAAGCATGTTCTACAACCTGATCAGTGACCCCCCTCCCAATAATGACAAATGTGACTGTATTTTGTGACGGTTGAGTTCTGCCACGCCTGGAGCTTGCGCTTAGATCACGTCTGGGTCACTAACTTTGTGGCGAATAAGCAGTGAGTGCACTCAGAACTCTACAATTACCAGGCCAAATCCCGAGTCGCCTTATCCTGTTAATATCTTCTCCCCGTGTGGAGTTTTTTTAGGGACGGTTAGTTGGTCAGGCTTATGGCCACGACTGCTCACCGGATCATTTTGCGGCCATTCCACGTGTCACAAGTGTTTTTCACGTCTATTTCGTTGTCAGTGGTTTGTGCTACGATTACAAGGCTAACCTTCTGCCTTCTCTGGCAGTTTCTTTGTATGCACAGTGCAGGTGTAAAACCCGAGCAGACCGGACTTCGAGGTCAAGGTTGATGTCTTGATAAACCCTTTACTCCGACGCGTCCTTCGAGCTTACGTTGCTGGCCTTGCTTCCGTCCTTTGCGATTTCCGTTGCAGATACCGGAGCATACTATTCTTGTCGACTAGTATGTACGCTCGTCCTACTTATGTCTAATTTCTAGTTTTCCGCAACCCTTCCACAATCCTCTAAAACGCAGTCTGGAAATGAACCACTATCTCGTCCATTCTTTTCAGCATTTCATACCGCCGGGCTTCCAGAAAGAGGCGTACACTGTAAACGGCCTCTTGCGTAAGTCTTCGTTGCCTTGCCCGGCAGTGATGATTCTCAGCTAGTGCGGTAGGTGAAAACGAGCGGTCCTCCATGATCTGCGGCGGAGGCTTCGCCTGTAAGTGGCAAACTTGGTCAGATTTCTCATGCGACCCGGGACGAACTGAGGTGGTCAGAGCACCTTCCTCGTCGTCTGATCAGTGTTGCTGCCGTCGATTCGGTGGCAGCGTCGAACTTAGAACTTGACTCAGCACAGTTTGCCAAGACATGAACGTAGCTTCTTGACCTTCAGTACTCGACCTCCGTCTCTGGGAGGAAGGGAATGGGTCTGGGTTTTCCAGATGCTCTGCCGCAGGTGGTCACGCGTGAAGGGGTACCGCTCGCGACATGCTAGAACGCTGGATTACTTAAGGCCCAGTGACCAAGTAGCCCGGGTTCGGATTCCAGGTTATCCAGACCTTCGGTTGGGTATATCTGCCCGACGCTAGTTAGTAAACCGGAAGTGGCCATCCCAGCGTCTCTCGTCTTTTATCGGGATTCCTTTTTCCGTCATTGCTTGCACTAAGCGACTGCTCGCGAGGGCTCTAAATTGGTCTCAAAGACACAGCAGGAGAAGCATGTTCTACAACCTGATCAGTGACCCCCCTTCCAATAATGACAAACGTGACTGTATTTTGTGACGGTTCAGTTCTGCCACGTCTGATGCCTGCGCTCAGATCACGTCGGGGTCACCAACTTTGTGGCGAATAAGCAGTGAGTGCACTCAAAGCGCTACAATAATCAGGTCAAACCCCGAGTCGCCGTATCCTGTTAATATCTTCTCCCCGTGTGGAGTTTTTTAGGAACGGTTAGTTGGTCAGGCTTATGGCCACGATTGCTCACCGGATCAGTTTGCGGCCATTCCACGTGTCACAAGTGTTTTTCGCGTCTACTTCGTTGTCGGTGGTTTGCGGTCCGATTAGAAGGCTAACCACTGCCTTCTCTGGCAGTTTCTTTGTATGCGCAGTGCAGGTGTAAAACCCGAGCAGACCGGACTTCGAGGTCAAGGTTGATGTCTTGATAAACCCTTTACTCCGACGCGTCCTTCGAGCTTACGTTGCTGGCCTTGCTTCCGTCCTTTGCGATTTCCGTTGCAGATACCGGAGCAAACTATTCTTGTCGACTAGTATGTACGCTCGTCCTACTTATGTCTAATTTCTAGTTTTCCGCAACCCTTCCACAATCCTCTAAAACGCAGTCTGGAAATGAACCACTATCTCGTCCATTCTTTCCTGTATTTCATACCGCCTGACAAAGGACACCAGAATGAAGGGTTTATTGTATACAGAACTCTGAGTTGTCCCCTCAGGCGGCAGTAGCCGCCAGCGAAGACAGGGCATGGCCGGTGTTGACTGCATCCAGTCATGCCTGGTCCCTGGGATAGCGGTGGCAGCCGCATTTGTAGGTTCGTGGGCCGAGCCCAAGTGTTCTCCAATCTGTGTGCGTTGCATTTCCCGAGGGGTGATGTTCAGGTGGCTTATGTCGTGTTTGCGACGGGTGTTGCGTGGGTAGCTGCGACTGTGTGGACGCAGGTGTGGCTGTGCCGAAGTCGGTCGATTTGCTTCAGGTCAACGCGCCAGGAACGGCCCGCTGCAAGGGCCGAATGACCTTGAGGCAGCTAGGCCTTGGACATGGACATCAAACATAGCCACGATGGCTGTCGGCAGCAATTTCCTAGTGCTGATGACCATAAACTTCGTTTTCTTAACTCCCCTCGTAGTGTATTACGTTTTCTTGGCTTTTGGCGCATGAAGTAAAAAGTTATTTGACTGTATGAAAAGTTTACTTGTTGTGTTTTTCGAAACACCTTAGTATGGCGTGTATCACTCCCCCCGTATAAAGAGGCATCTGAAAACTCGTGCAATATTGTTATGGGCTTGGTTCACTAAATTCTTTAAAGTAGCCCCGTTAAGGTTGTGGATATGCGATCACTCAAATAGCTCCCAGAGTGTCGAAAATGTCTCCATTAAGACCCCTTTTAAAACTGCGATAAACCCGCTCTCCAGGCAACACACTTTAAAAAGGCGTACTTTCCCATAAAGTTTACTTGGTGCGGTTGTGATCATGCCCCATAAAAGCCGGTCCCTAAGTGTGACGACCTGCGTCAGTGCATCTAAAGAGTTCAATTCATCCTCTTATCCAGCGACGCAAACCGAATACGGATTGTCCAAGAACCACTTCCATGTCTTGGTGAACTGTGTCGAGCCAGCTTCTGAGTTGGCCCCCTCTTCGACGCCTCCAGATGGACAACGGTGTCGGATCTTGGTCGGCGCAATACCGAGTTCATGAGGCCTATAGCCATAATGACCATTTTGGCCCTCTTGCCTCAAGGTCATTCACCTTCAGGCGCACCGGCCTTCAGCCACGCGACCGACTTCAACTCGGACGTACGTGCGTCCACAGAGTCGCAGTTGCCAATGCGCCACTTGAGCGTACAAGTTCCCCCCCCCTCCTGCGAACACATGACAGTTCATTCATCGACTTCGACGACGACGTCCAGCGTGTGCTCTACAGCAGACACGATGAGTTGCGCGTGATTCCTTTTATGGTGATAGTAGATCTGCGAAGCTCTTACCGCACTCTCTGCGACTCCCCAACCTGGACCCAGTGTCAAGACGTTGTCAAGAGGATCGAAGGCGCAGATGACTGGCGCGGCCGAAGCCGCCGCCTAGGCGTGCTGTCACAGCAGAACACAACATAGTTCACACGGATCCTACCCCTCGGTAAATGCAACACAAACCCCTTGGACACCACCCGAGCTTGCCCCACAAACCTACAAAAGCAGCTGCCGCCACAGTCTCACGAACCCTCAGGCATGACTGGAAACAGTTAACATCAGCCCAAGCGACGCAAACCGAGTACAGATTGTCCAAGAACCACTTCCCTGTCTTGGCGAACTGTGTCGAGCCAGGTTCTGAGTTGGCTTCCTCTTCGACGTCTCCAGATGTACAACGGTATCGGATCTTGGTCGGTGCAATACCGAGTTCATGAGGCCTATAGCCATCATGACCAGTTTGGCGTCTTAGTTCAAGGCCCTGTTGCCTCAAGGTTATTCACCTTCGTAGTGAACGGCTCCAGACGCGCCGGGGTGCAGCCACTCGAGCGACTTCAACTCGGACGCGCGTGCGTCCACAGAGTCGCAGTTGCCAGTCCGCCACTTGAGCTTACAAGCCTGCCCCCCTCCTGTGAATACGTGACAGTTCATTCATCGATTTCGACGACGACGTCCAGCGTGTGCTCTACAGCAGACACGGTGGTTTGCGCGTGATTCCATTTATGGTGATAGCAGACCTGCGTAGCTCCTACCGCACTCTCTGCTCCTCCCCCACCTGGGCCCGGCGTCAAGACGTAGTCAAGAGGACCGAAGGCTCTGGTGGCTGGCGCGGCCGAAGCCGCCCCTAGGCGTGCTGGCACAGCAGAACACAACATGAGTCACGTTAACCCTGCCCCTCGGCAAATGCAACACAAACCCTGTAGAATTCTCGGTAAATTGGGTCACGCGTACAAGCCAAAACAGATCTCGGTGTATATACGGTACTATTGATAGAATAAGGTTATAATAAAAAACGTACAAACCCCAACAATGGATACGCTAGACAAAGAATTCTTAGCTCAAGGTCAGAATAGAAAACTTGTTAATTAAAAGGACGCCGATCACGCTCGAAAGAGGGTTACAAAAAGGGGGAAGAGGAATGTCAACAGGAGCCAAATGTGGAAGCACTGGCGAGGAGGACGTGAAGAATTCCAAGCGTTGACCAGCTGGATACAACAAACCCTTTGGACACCACCCGAGCTCGCCCCGCAAACCTACAAAAGCAGCTGTCGCCACCGTCTCACGGACCCTCAGGCATGACTGGAAACAGTTAACATCAGCCCTGGCTCCGTCAGCAGCAGCAGCAACCGCCTGTATGTGATAAATCCCTCATTCTGGTGACTTCTATCTTCTCCTTAGGGAGTCGATATTCGGCTGTTTAGTGGCTACAAATGTGTGCGATAAATGCCTCTTTTCTTTGAACTACAGCGAAGTGTATCCAAGCCTCGCAAGGGAGTTGAGAAATACGCACTTTTTAAGTAGTAGGCCATTTACAAGTGGCTATCTGAGAAGTTATTAAACCAAAAGGCAACGGCTCTGTACCAAGTTCCATGCCAACTAGTACTTCAATCGCACTCCGCCAAATTTCTCTTTTCGAAGGCATACTACATACCGATTGCAGCATATGTTAACTGAATTTTTGCTTCTGTTGTATGTACAGTATTCCCTCTACTCCATCACTCCACGAATCGATTTTGGCTTATTACTAGATTTACATCTTTTTAGAATCTTTACGTCGGTTAGCCTGGTCCGGAATACCTCACGCTGTTCGGTCTACGGTGTGGAAATTGCTTTCAGTAAGTGCCCCCCTACTCGGCGTCTTTGTTTGGCTTTTTCCCCTAGACAGGACCAGTTTGATTGACCCCACATACGAGGATGCTTAGGTGCGCACAATAAGTCTTCCTTTCCAGCGCCATGGGGCCATTAATCATGACAGATCCAGCCAGCAAAGTTCTGCAGGTTGCCAACATCGCAAAAAACGGCGTCCATTGCGGCCGTTGGCTGGGGGCGATGTTAGGCCGAAAATGCAGGGCCACTCACGCCTAAACGTGATAACCTTGGCGCCGTTGCCAGCGACGGGCAAAGATGACGTTTTCGACTAGCCCCTCTTTTGGGTCGAGGCAGCGCTTGAACGCGCCATCGGTACCGACGAATAAGGTTGTGTTCTTGGTAGTTTTTACTGTTACTCGTTGGGGATGCGGCCGGAGAACCGAATATGAAGAATCTCTAAAAGCAGTGAAATACCAGCCGAAATTGTACTATCGAGTCCTTTCAAGGTTAGCGTATTATTGGTCGTAGGTAGCCCTCGAAATCCTGACATGTACCCAGGCAGTAAATACGCATGCTGTGATTAGATAATCCAATTTGATACGAACTCAAACAGGCGGCCATTTTAGAACCCGATGCGAATTCAATCGTTGTTTAGACAGAATCTACCAGCCACTCCCAGACGGCGGACATATAGAGGCAACAGTCATGTCTGTCCTGGCGGCAGTTTTTCATGCTCTCGGATCTGACGTTTTTTGTGAGAAACGGCTACTTCATAACTTTACTGCACAAAACTGACGACGGATGGTAACCCAGCAGCCCAACAACGGAGAAACCGACAGTCGTGAAAACGCTATCATGTATTGTCAGCATGTCGGCGCCCCTATATCAGCGTCATTTGGCGATCCGAAGCGATAGTTGTGGGGTCTAAGACCTCCCTCTCAAGACGCTGGGCGTTGCCTGTTGTGTCCGAGGTAGTTCGTGCGAAGTATTGATGATGAAATTGTCTCCCTACTCGAAATTTACATCGCCACGAAGATTCGCGTGCACCGTGCATCCGTTCGGCCAGTCCGTCTATCGATTTTGAATGCTGGGCTATGTGCGTGGAAGATGAGCGAAGGCTGGGGGTATTTGGACACCGCCTCTTGAAGACCATCCCTCAAGTGGAGTACGCCAACTTTATCTCAAATGAGACAGTCCGCACTCTCTGCGACAACATCGCAAGGATAACCCAGGCCATCCAGGAAAGACGACAGAGGTGGTTTGGGCATGTTCCTCGTCCACTTTACGTGCCCAATGTTACTGCCCTCGACCAATCACCATCACCCCATTGGAGGCGTCGAAGAGGAGGTCAACTCAAAGTCTGGCTCGTCACAATCCCTCACGACATGGAAGTGGTTCTCGGACCCTTGGTATTTGATCTCCGTCGTTGAATGGGTAGAACTGTTCAGATCTGCCGCCGTGGACCGTCACGCTCGGAGAAGTACAGTCTGTGATATCATCGATGCTGGCTAGATTAGACGTGCTCGCAGCCGTGCCAAGTCCAATTAATCACTTGCTCCGGTAGGTCGGTAGCTAGATGCGATCACATCGGGGTGGCGGGAAGGATAGATCCAGTGTCTTTGGTGGCTAACCATTACCACGACTGAACGGGTTTATCTTCGAGAGGAAAAAATCTACATCCAAAGAAATGCATGAGCAGGAAAAAAGAACACAAGAGACTTGAAAAGGTGTACGACGAGACTCAAAGTGCACCCAAAATTGAACACCTCATGAGGCTTTTTGTTTTTTGCCAACAAACTTTCTTCACTTTTGCGGGAGAGACCTATGAACAAATCAAGGAAACCCCAATGGACTCACCGGTTTCCGGTTTAGAGGCAAAGATGGTCCTATAGGAGTTAGAAAAGATTGCCTTCCTCCAACGTGAGTCGGTATGTTGGCGCCGTCACGTAAACGACACGTTTTTTTATCGTAAAGAAGGACGTGCTACAACATTTCCGCGACCTGCTCGACGCGGTCTACCCTGATATAAAATTCACGAGGGCAGAAGAACAGGAACGGCAGTTGCCCGTCCTTGATGTGCTCGTCAGACGAAACCTTAACGATGAACTTCAGACGACGGTTTATGGGAAGGCAACGAACGCCACACAGCTTCTCAGTTTTCACAGCAACCATTCGGTGGCTCACAAACGAAACTGTGTGAAGACGCTTTTCAAACGGATCCAAACTCATTGCAGCAAACCGTAGGACAGAGCCCGTGAGGCCCGTTATCTCCGCGACCAGTTTGTGCAAAATGGATATCCGAGGGCATTCATAAGTCGCTGCCTACGCGGTCTCCACCAGAAGACTTGAGCATAAACATCACCAACGATATGACATTGCCATAAATCACGGGCGTTTCTGAAGCGACTGAGCGCATTGCTGCGGAGCTAGGTGTTGGAATTGCACACCGCCCCAAAGCCACCATGCGCAATAGGGTCATGAAAATCAAAGACCGGTTAAGGCCTGAAGAGCAATCTGAAGTAGTGTATCACATTCCGTGTCAAAATTGTCCTTGTTACTACACAGGGCAGACTGGGCGCATGCTCGGATCGCGCATACACGAACATAAGCTGGCTGTGCGATGAGGCGACGCATTTTTCACAAGTGGCCGCCCGCATCTACGAAATGGGTCATGAGTTTAACTTCGCAGCCGCCAAAAATAGTCGCCCACGCCGGAAACAAAAACAGACCGAAAATGAATTGAATCCTGGGCCTCGGATGAGAACTCGGTCACTCGATTTATCGATCTGGCGCCGGCGTACGGAGCCCTGCGTAGTCACCTCCAGTCTTGCGCTGTCGGTCGATGATTGGCCTGCATGCCTGATAACTGTCGCTTGTTCTGTTGCTGCTACTACCTCTGACGATGGACTCCTGCACGAGCCAGATAGCCCCCAGAACAATAAACCGAATATTCCGATGCTCGACCACCTTTCTTCTTCACTTAAGAACAGAAGGGACGTAGCACTACAAACGTAGTTTGTCCTATAACCCCCCTTCCCTCCTATGGTGCGGCCTTATGTCAGCCAATGGGGAACCGCCAACGGAGAGGGGAAACCAACGCGGGATGTGGGATGGTGCCGGTGAAAACTAGTGAAAAAACTTCATCAGTCGCCTACACCTGCCGATCCCGCTACGCCGTGGTAAGATAGGCCTGCACAGCACTCTGTCTCCCCGTTTAACTTGTTCTGGTGATAGGCCAATATCAAGACGACCAGAGGTGGGGGCTTGGGCACAGTGAATCGCAAAGCTAAATAACCGCCAGCCTGTGCCACACACGACCTAGGATCGGATCGGATCTCACATGCGTGACAGTGTCATAAAGGCCACATAAAGAGGAATTAATTGCAGCCTGAAGAGAGTTAGCGCATCGATCGACAACCTCCCAGGACGCGACTCTTACCGTCTCGTGAATGATTCGAGCGCGTCAAACTTACGGCACTGACCAATGCGATGATTCGCCACGTGGGCGGATTCCTCAGCGTTGGCCTCAAGCACTCCCTCCTCTTCCCTGCGCTAGTCGACTGTCCTCGCCTCTCAATTAACCGACGGGGGAATTTGGTGCAGTGGCTGACGTGGTGTAGGGCGTGTCGCAGACGCATGCATGACAGTAGTTATGGGCCCACGTGAACCCAGGCAGCCCGATAAACGCGCGTCGTGAGCCGGTTTGTCCTCGGCGACAGTCGCGAGAAACTTGCCGGTCTGACCGCGCGAGCATCTTGGAGCTTGATCTCATCATTCTCTCCCATGACAAACCGTTGTTAGTTTTCGAAACGTCAGAAAGATAGGCGTGCTGTTTCTTAGAAGTCCCGCTCCTCATCCGTGTCTGAGATCGCTTTGTGCTCAGGGCAGGCTGCCGTATGGTAAATACTAATCTCTGACACCCCAGAGTGGGTCTTGGCATGATTTTTTTCTACAGAACTGTCGGCACTGCCACTTGGCGGGCGTCGTAAACGCGAGTAACACAACCGCAGGACCTTAGTCACAGGTAACACCTGCACCGAATGGAGGTCGAACTACTGTGTGTGATTGAATGAACCGCCAGGAACCGTCATCGCTGTCGAAGTTGCGAGCTGTCTCTGCTGCTGGCCCGTAACTTGCACCTCCCCCATGTGATACGCATATTCTCGGTTGGGCTTTAGTTTAACAGTTGGGGAGGGAGAGGGGAGTCAGCTCAACGGTCGGCGTGCAATTAGTCCTATTAGCGTACACTTAGGCGGACAAGGTTTGCAGTGCTAACAGACGCCTTTCAGGGACACACAATACCGGCTATTCTTGAAACGACCTTCAACCCCGAAGTCCCATGTGTTAGGGCAGTAGTCAACATGATCATGGTTTCCAGGGGCCCCTTTTTCTCACCCACCCGCCCTTCCTATTGTGGTACCGGATTCGAGTAATATCCCCCCACCGTTAGCGTCTGATTCGATGAAAACTGGGATCGGTATATGTTAGCAGATATCCCCTAAACGCTCTTCATGATGACTAGATAAGAGGTGCAATTGTCACTTCGCCGGGCTGTCATGACCTTCCGTCATGAAACCCAGAATAGTGTCGCGATCAGGGCTTGTTTGTCGTTGAATTTGGCCTGCGGAACGATCCGTTCTCCAATGCGTGAGTGCGCTAACGTAGAGGCTCTAGATGTATCCTAGATCGGCAACTTTGCAGACATCAGACTACACTAAGGTGCTGTACTCTCTCACCCAACTTAATACATTCACATAATTCTTACCTTACCACTGTGTTGCACTCGATCATTACGGGATTTAATACTGCTTTCTCTTTGCCATCCACGTTGCTGCCTTGGAACGCCATTAGGTCTCCTCACGAAATGCCCTGAGGGTAACGTCCCGCCTTTCGGCTGTGTCCGTTGGGACCCGAACCGTTGTTTTCTGCATCTAGACATCGGCGAGTGGAAATAAAGTAGGCCATAATGGTCTTTTAGAGCGTCATCTAGGATCTAGTAGAAAGCCTTATATTGAGCAGTAACCCCAAATTAAACCAGTTTTTGCGGGCTTTTGAAGTTGGATTGGACTTACTATTCGCTGGCTCTTATAAAAGGTTTTTTTGAGAGCATATCTTTCCCTTTGCTCGCTTTCTCTCGCGCCCATCTTTGTAGGACTACCTTCCCGCCTCCCAGGAACGGCGAGCCTTCACTCTTCTAAGCAAGCGTAAGCAGTATGCCGACTTGGCTGGTCAATTCTTCTCTCTCCGCAATCACCACTCCGGCTCCGATATTTTCCTGCAAATTCAGAAGGACCTCCTCCGCATGCCCATACTGCACAGGCATCAGGAGATTTTCGATGTAGGTCCCACCCTTCTCTATTTGTCTTTTTTATCTATCCTCCTCCTCCTTCTCCTCCTCCTCCTCCTCCTCCTCCTCCTCCTCCTCCCACCCCTTTTCCCACTTTATCGGATTGTCAATGGATGATTTCACGAGGCCTCATTTCTCAGGTCCCAGTAAAGTCTTTGCATTTTCTTGCGCCCACTCATGAATTTCATCAAACGATTAGCCAAAATGCTTAAATTTGCCGTCAAATGCCAAAATGGCGATAATCACAACACGTCGACCACCTGCCTAACAAACTACCACACCAATGCCCATAAGCAATTCCCTTTGTCACCAGTTTTCGAGAATCATTTAAGGTCCTTCAGTGCTCTTAGAAACGACTTCCGAACATCACGTTGTTCAATGTAATGTTTTAAGAAACCGCATCTTTGTTAAGCAACCGACAGTCTTTTGTGAGCATAATCCGTAAACCTGTGCATTGATGATTGCGTATTTATTCGGAAAAATTGTGTTTAACAGGTCTGCCCTGCGATATTTGTTTTATCAGCTTTCAATCTGTTGTTTCACCTGCTCGCACCTCCTCTTTGTCACATAGTAGGTGAAATATCAAAGTACCCGCTTATGTACACGGCTTTAACTTGTAGCTGTTTGAACGCGTCCTCTTTATCTGGTCCGTCCGTCACCCCGGTAGTGGCTACGTCCAGGGTATCAACGATCTGTTGACACCATTCTTTGTCGTCTTCCTCTCCGACTACGTGAAAACGGGTGAGTCTTTTGTCAATGGACTTGTTCAGGCACTTTTTCGTACTCCGATCAGCGGGTTCCCCCCCCCCCAGCGAGCTGCGGCCACCTGCGTAGCACTAACTCCCTCTCAGCGCCCCCCTCCCACAACCAACCAATCGCATCTACGGCCGCTTCCCTATGTGGCTCCTATGCCGAATGTGTGGTCCCAGCCGGAGACTATCACGGTGCGCCAAGCGCCGTGACTTGGAAGGCTGCTGCCCGACGCCTCAACTCAGCCCACGCAGCCTGCCTAGTTGTGTGGAGTGGCGGACTGGTGGTGGACTGAGAGCAAGTCTGTCACGGCGCTTTCCTAAAGTGTTACTTAATGGGTTGTGCCGTTCACACCCAGCCTTGGAAGAGTGACGACCCAGGCAAATGCAGGGCTGTGTATCACCCTTTCTGGCTCTAAGGTTTGTGAGGGTCTGCAACGCCATGATCAGCAAACCATAGCCCTCACAGTCTGGTGTGAGCTGGCAGTTCCCCAGTACTTACAGTGAGTGACCTATCTCATGAAATGTTGGCTGGAATTCTGAAATGCGCTTTCGATTAGGAAGGACTACTTGGTCAAGGTTGTAATACTGATTATCTTACAGCATAATTATAAAACATTTCGGACTCGGCAGGATGTCAGCTTTTGAATGCACTGCTTTTCAATCTCCAGTAGAAACCGCACTCGGTAAGAAATGACTACTTAAGTAGCATGCATTTTCCCATTGATTCTCGATGGTCTTGCAAATTCAAATATATCTTACAGAAACCATAAACAAAAATATATTTTCTTTCAGTCAATTAATAGAGAATTAGGTCATCTTCATATTTTATATATAAGGACGGACTATAATTAGGTTTTAAAAAAGTTTTCTAATTGCCAAATAATTTGAAGCCTGATCATTCGTTGCATTAGCTCTTAGTGATTTCAGTCTACAAGGTGCATGCGTTCCGCGCAGATAAAATCACATATTTTTCTATGCCATTAAAAAGATATCATACAGAGTTCATAAAATTTTGCAATGGATGCGGATTATGTTGTGCATTTCACGAGGAGCTGTGGTAAACGGCCAGGTACGATGCTATGTAAATGGACATTGTGCGGTTTTAAAAAATCTCATGATGAGAAACTTTTTAAAAACCTGATTATACTCCGTCCTTAAGTATAAAATATAATGAAGACGTGCTTCTCTATTAATTGACTGAAAGAAAGCATATTTTTGCATGACCATCGAAAATCAATGGCAAACATGCATGCTACTTAAGTAGTCATTTTTTACCAAGTACGCTTTCTACAGGAGATTAAAAAGAAGTGCATCTAAAAGCCGACATCCTGCCGAGTCCGAAATGTTATAAGAGTATGCCACAAGATAATTATTATTACAACCGCGACCAGGTAATCCTCCCTAATAGAAAGCGCATTTCAGAATTTCAGCCAACACTCACTCACTGTAAGTACTGGGGAACTGCCAGCACACAGCAGGCTGTGAGGACTATCGTTTGCTGAGACCATGGCATAGCAGACCCCCACAAACCTTGGAACCAGAAAGGGTGATACACAGCCCTGCATCTGCCTGTGCCGTCACCCTTCAAAGATTGAGTGTGAAATGCACAACCCATTAAGTAACACGCATCCCTTACATGCGTGAGGGTGCCTCAGGCCACTTTAGGAAATCGCCGTGACAGACTTCCTCTCAGCCCTGTAGTCCCCTGGCAGTAGGTGCACTTGCGCTCCCGCTGGGTGTACACAGGTCGTGTGCATAGCTGCCCAGTCATTCTCGTCCTTTCTGCTGTTGTTGTTGTTGTTGTCCGACGTCCTGGTCAGTTGTTTTTGTGTGGTGGTACGTCTAGGTGTGAATCCGGTCGTGCCAGCCACCTGCGCCCTCTCCCGCCCCCCCAGTCTTCTCGACTCTCTGTCTCGAAACCGGGCCCAGGTGGGGGAGGAGGAGAAAGTGCGATTGATGCCGCGCAAGTCTAAATTCGCTATAGAGTACTTCAGCGCAAGTCACCGTGCCTGCCCTCGCCTTGCTGTGGAGCGCCTGGTGGGCGTCGTCAGGCACGGCGGTTGAACTGTCATGTATGTGTGTGAGTCCGCGACTAACGATCGTGCACGCTCTCTCCCCACACACACACAGACCGTGTGAGCGCGACTTTACCAGCGGCGAACTTTAGTCTGGCGATGTCATTTCGATTTGCAGGGACACTTTATCTCACGGTTTGCAGACCTTTAGAAACATGTGCACAGACAGTTTAACCAACTGACCCAAATGGGTTTTAACTGATGGCCTTAAAAGGTTGCGGGTCAACGCCACTACTCCTGACCATGGATTTAAGAGTTAGCTCGCCGCCGCCACTACCACTACCAAAACCATCGTCATGATCATCATTGTCATTGCCATTGACCGCAAACCTGACACTGGGTCAAAAGGACTCAAGCTGTCATTCACACAGGTGTAATCACATGATAGACCATAACTTGCGTGTGCCTGGTACAGCTGGCCTCGAATCGATGTCATGAATTGTACTCCCACGCATGACAATCTGCGCCAGCAGATATAGAGAGCTCGATCCGTTTTCTTCTTTGACCATGGAGTCTAAATTTAGATGGCAGACTGTGTGGAGGCAGGTCCTGAATTGGTCTCCTCTTCGACGCCTCCGGCCCCGGAATGGGGGGCAGCAACACTGGGCTCATGAGACGAACAACGAAAAACGCACCCAGGTCACTACAATCGTACTGTATGATCTTAAATATCCTCGCGATATTGTCGAAGTGAGTTTGGAGTGTCTCATTCGAAAGGAAATTGGAGTACTTCATTCGAAGGATGGGGTTTCAGGCAGCACTGATCAAAAACTTTCAGCCCTCTCTCATCTTCCACGTGCACAGCCCAACATTCACAACCGTACTGCAGTACTCAACAGACGGACTCCCGCTACATACGGATCTTTGTGGCAAATAGATCACAGCAATAGTGAAGAGGGTTTGGTCAGATGTGGTTATGTAGCCCCACCTGAAGTAAACAAACCCCAGCCACCTGTAATATGGAGCCGGTGGTAATAGGGGTTTTTACAGGTGGAGTCGGGGAACGCACAGGCGACGAGGTCAAGTAGTTGTGTGCGAAACACGCGTGTATGGACTTTTGGCTAGTACCTGTGCTGTTAGTATGGTATCACTTTACGGATGGAAGCGAATATGTATCACTTTACCCTAAAGTATACTACTAGCTGCCTGTCGGCAGTTAATGAATATTACGTGGTTACCTGCTGTGGCTGATGGACTTCGGCCAAATATTCATAAATAAAATTCTCGGTCTGAGCCTGTAGACCTCGAATAAACTGATCTACTCCAACTCCGTAGGAAATTAAAAAGCGACAACTTCTAAATCGGAGTATCTACCAGAAAACACACAGAAAATGCAGCGGCAAAACATCGGCGAAACACTCGTGTATGGGCTTTTGGCTAGTGCCTGTGCTGTTAGTATGGTATCACCTTACCCTAAAGAAAAGCTATTGGCAATACGCGGTTGTACGTTGAATGGTTGAGAAATAGATGCCTTAACCACTAACCCTAACCACCTAATCCCAACCGCTAACTCTAACCTTTAGCCCCTAACCCTAAGTCCTAACCCATAACCCCATACCCCAACTCCAAACTTATCCCTAACCCCAAACCTAACCTTGGAACATCCAATGCGAAGGTTGGAAGGAGATGATAGTCCGAAAGTCAGGAAAGACCACAGGCAATGGACCGAAAATGATAGACGCGGCAGCAAAGAGACAAGGCCGCCAACAGAACCCACGCCACAACGCACAGCAACACCATGCCAACGTAATCACACCAACCCAAAATACCTAAGTAGCTCAATAGTATTGTGTCCATCAGGTGCGGCTACATAACCACATCTTACCAAACCAGGTTTCTACTCCAACAGTCGAGTTTTTCTTCCGTGATGCAAAATTATCTGGGGTTTCATGGAAAACCAGTCTAATGCTGACAATTTTCGTTGAAACGAGGAGAACCATTACATGGTAACTTCGAGGTTACTATCTTTTGTGCTGTGGCGTAAATGAAGGACAGGTATTTGCCAGTTGGCCTTCCTGTCGCCTAGATGGATTTACCACCAGGGGGAAACGACGACGTTTACTCTGCGATCCGAGGTGTAGACTTTAAAGAAATCCTCCAACCAGGACACTCGCAGTTCCGTGTGCTGGCGACTGACACACCAATAGGCTTTAAGGAGAATAAATATTCCAATGAGCTGGTAGTGGGAACTGGAGTTTAAGGAAACCACAAACGACTTCTAGGTCCCGGGGTTAGACCAGGAATCCTTCCCGTCCGTTGTTTGTTTCTCCGATTACAAATGGTACCCCGCTTATAACTATTTTCTCCCTGTTGCTCTTCGATAGAAAGGACCTGTTTCAACATTTGACTTAACCATTCGATTTATTATATGCTCACTAATATTGGATAGACAACCCTAACAGTACTGTGTCCATCAGGTGGGGGGATACATAACCACATCTTACCGAAGATTTCCAAAAGAACGACGCCTGATTCCATGTGATTTCGACTAGTTTGCCAATAAGCCGCGAAAAATTATCGCGGCCTCCATTTCAGGACAACTAAACCCCCTCAACCCTGTCGAAGCCTGTGCTCAGGGCATTTATTCCTCGGACCAAATTTGCTGTCCTGCTGACTTTTTTGTTGCGTCCTCTGACCACATGAACGAGCATAGTCCGATGTCGCAGGGTCCATGGAACATCAAATTGCCGGATATAACTATCGGAGCTCATGAAGCCCGGACATGGACCCACGTTACCGCCTCTGTGACTGGTGCGAATACCCAAAGGGCCAGCTCTCCACGTGCTTAGTGGAAGGCAGCTCTTTTGCGCCCACCCATTGGCCAACCACCGATCCATAAAATGAGTCCAGTCGTCGCAACCGTCCGCTCATCACTCTCCTCCGTCTAGCGTCCTTCGCGTCCGTACAGAAGCCAATGTGTCGTGCTCCCAGTAAGTAGCCGGTGCGGAAAGCTGTCGTCAGCTATTGCGAGTCACTGTCGTAGGGACTGAATTTTGGCCATCCAATGCTCTCAGACAAATCTTGACGCCACTGACCCCAACATTCTAAATACTGAAGCTGCGCGATTTCAGCCATTCAAACTCTAGCAAAGAGTAACCCACACGGGTAACCAGTATCAGAGCTTGATCGACAAAGAAGACGCATACTGAGACGGAATCTGATCCGGACCTATAAAGTGTTCTTGATGCACATCTGATAATTACTAGTTTACAATACCTATTGCCAGAGGGCACCCACTCTGGCGTAACTGCTTATCCTAAATCATGGTCGCCAATGTACCAAATCTTCTAATCCAGGCAGGAATTTTAGGAGCCCCATCCATACCTGTTTCATGAGGTTGAGCTGTCCGGATCTGCTGCCGCGGATCGTCACGCGTGGAGAGGTACAGTTCGGGACATCATCGAGGCCGGCTAGATCAGACATGATCGCAGCCGTATCAAGTACAAGTACAAGTATCCATACCTGGCATATGTGTTACCTTCTTTCTGCTTACTTGATTTATCCTGTCCTAGTCACTATCCTGTCATTATCCTGCAGAACTGACCAGCTCGGGTGAGCTCAACTTGTCAGCACCGGTGGAGGCCGCACAGTTGGCTGAAATCGAGGCTGACGTCTTCTGGTGCCTCTCGCGTCTGTTAGACACCATCCAGGACAACTACACCTTCGCGCAGCCCGGCATCCAGAATAACATCGCCATGCTCACCAGTCTCACGGAACGCCTGGATGCCGACCTGCATCAGCACTTCCTGTCGCAGAACCTCGAGTACCTGCAGTTCTCCTTCCGTTGGATGAACAACCTCCTCATACGAGAGCTACCTCTCAGGTGCATCATTCGGCTCTGGGACACCTACCTGGTGAGTTTCCACAGCTTACTTCTGGTCGAGGGGGGGGGGTAAAAGTACCCCTATGGCCACGCTAAGGTAGAGTATACCGTGACGCCACTCACTCAAATCCGCAGGCTATTTTCCGAATGCAAGATATGCTAGTAAATTTTCGACCTGTGACGGTAGCCTCCCACCAGAACAAATGAATGACAAGATGCGCCCTGAAAGTCCATCTAATTGGTCATTCCCGGCGCCTATAGTACCGAGTCATGACAACGCGCTATCAACTCTTCTATGACTGCATTGTTGGTTGTCGAGCATTAGCCTCCTTCCTGCGCTTCTGCCCCACCAGCCCTGTATGCCTTACCATCCTCTGGCGCATTGTTTGCGGTTATAGTCCGATGACAAGACGTTGTGTCGTGTGCGACACTCGTAGATGGACCGTCTAGCCCTGTCGGCCACTGGGCATAACCCCAGTACCAGTTAGCAGAGAGGGCTCGCACGGCCAAATGGTGCGTAGAAGAGGTCGGAGTCAGCGCAGCTCATCTTGGAGAGTCGATCTACGCGGCAGAGCAGCGCATGTTCGAATCTATCTTGACGTGCCTGAGAATCGGACTTCCAAGTTCTGGAACTGGCGTCCATGTCGCTACTTCTCAGAATTAAGAGTCAGATTCTATGGCTCATCCACAAAATGGCTCCCCCTCACTAAAGCAAGATCCGAGCTGCCTTCATGGAAGTTTGGTACATGTATTGTGCATCAGGCCATGTGTGGTACTCGTAGAATGGATGTTCAGCTTTTCCAGCCACCGCGCCCGAATCAACCTCTAGTAGTTTTGATACCGCCTTGGCACTCGGCCCAGGTAGGTCAGGGAAGAGAATGTGGTAACTGTTACGCAAGGAAGAAGGACTGCTAATTACTTTATGGATTGAAAACCGGAGTAGAAAAGAGACCGTTGTGAAATTTATATCATGAGAGAAGACTGAAAACGTGCAGTTACATCAGGGCGTTTTTTGTCAGTGCTATTTCGCGAATCTGAGTCCACAAAAGACAAAATGCACACGAGACGTCTAGCCTAGGTACTGTGATCGATACTCTGTCGCAGTCCAAATAGGTGCATCCGCAGTCTACCTGCCAAGACTGGGATGTTGAGAAATGGGATTGACCGCGTTCGTGCGGCTCACGGCTGGCATCCATACAGAATTCAATTTTTGAAAAAAATGTTCGCCGCAAGACCCTTTTATGCTGTTTGAGTGGTAGCAGGATGTGACATTTGTAAGGCTCCGGCGGCGCTTGTGTGGGCATATTTTCACGCAAAGCATAGCTGGACGCGCTATTAACGCAGGTAACATGACTACTCCCGATGCCATTCTCCGTGCGCGAGTTAACTGGGGGGACAAGTCTTAAATTATGCGAAAAATGGTCACCGCATCGGGCACACACACCGTAAATAAAAAAAGCATTTGGTTGGTCACATTATTCAGACCCATGAGAAGCCCTTAACGAATTTTTTTTACCCTCAGCTTTAATATAGAACAGGGTGGGATGTTTTTTTCAGCAAAATAGTTTGGTAGTTCACGATTTTACAAACACCAGATCTGCGTTCCTGCGTGTATGTGTGTGTGCACTGAAGGCTTCTAATGTACTCTGAACGTTTAGACATTAGTTAAAAGCCGGCTATACTATCACTTCACTACTATGCGGCTTCCGTATACAAGACTGTCCCCCAGCTGTTTGCTCATCGACCTGGCGTCAGAGAAGGTTGTGTTCCGTCGCCTTTTCTGTTCCACTGCGGTGTTCTACACTGTTTTGAATTAGCACCGGGGCGCCGACCTACTGATATTGACAATGCTGCCTTCATGCTTTGAGATGGCTTTACAGCCTGTAGCGTCGCAGGTCAGTTAAGTCACCTTATTGGTCGGTTTATCTTTAAAGGCTGTGAAGAGCCGCACACCTGACCAGGAGAAGGCACCCTTCGGTGTTAATGGCCGTCAGTTCGAGGGAAGTAGACAGTTGCAAAACGACTGGGTGGGACGCCTGCTGAATGGGACGGATTAAGGACGACGTCGTCCTCCGAATCGATGTTGATCGCATGGTTTTTCTAAGGACTAGAAGATGCCTATTGATCCGACGCGGAATGTCCATCGTCACGAAAATCCGCGTGTACTGTGCATCCATCTGGTTTTGAATGCTGGGCTGCCCGCGTGGAAGATGAGCACAAACTGGAGGTGTTGGGCGACCGGTGATTTCGAAAGAGACACTTCGCACCCACTGTGGCAACATCGCGAGGATACCGCGGACTATTCAAGGAAGGTGTCTGAGTTAGTTTGGGTGCGTTCATCGTCATCCACCTCATGAGCTCAGTGTTTCTACCCTCGATCCGACTCCGTTGCCTACCTGGAGCCGTCAATGAGGCCAGCAGTTCGTCAAGACACGGAATTGGTTACGTAGACCTTCCGATATCCAGTCTCCGTCGCTAGGGAGTGAAGGAGTCGGGCAAATTATCCGCGACACCATCGAGGCCTTCTTGTTCAGACGTGGCCACAGCTGTATTAAGCATATGTGCAGTTCTCCGTCTTATATGCTCTCAAGTGGCATTCTGACGTCAATCAGGTACCTGTATGCGATTTATCCCGACGGTTCTCAGCCGCTGGATGGTCAATGACTGCTGCCCAAAGTTAATGCCTCACCTACTCGTCACCGGATACAGAGTCCACTGTGCGGATCAGCTCCTACTGACAAGTGAAAAATTGGCACAGTTCACACTGTCAGACACTGTGGGACCTGACTTTTGGACAGCCAATAACTGACAGTTTGTGGTTCATGTTTTCATCTTAACATCGCGAGTGGGCGTCTTCAGCCACCACGACGGCACGTGACTTTTAGGGTTCAAGAACGGTGCTAGTAGAAAGTTCCAAGGGCTCTGATAGGTGGACCCCGCACCGTTGGCGATTGGCCAGTTCCATACTTCACCAAATTTCTATCTGCTAGTTGGCAACCTCACTTTCGCAGATCCACCTGTTGGTGCGTGGGCGTTGAGATTCAGAGTTGCAGGGGCAGACGCGCGATCGCCGGAACAAGAATCTTATCCGCCTAACGTCTGGGATCCACACTCGAGCCCAGCACCAGAGACAGCGGTCACGGTGTTGCTGGCAGTTGCTATGCCAACGCATACCTATTAAAATTAGCGGATATCGCATCCATCGCAGACGGTTGTACTGGCTGCGATAATTGATTGATGGCCCGCATCCGAGTTGTTAACTGTCGGATTTTCATCACCCATGCGGGTTACCGACGCAATAATAACACCTCTACTTGGCTTATCGATACTGAAACTGGTCATGGTGACTAATTACTCTCCCCAGGCGAAGTCTCGGCACCGATTATGAGGCGGGGGGGGGGGAAGTCACTGCGTTTGTTAATCGGGAGCTGTCCATTCTTGCCAGCCACCGCGTCCAATCCCATCATCAGTCGCTTTACGAGTCTATCTGCTGCGCCCAGACCGTAGGGAACGTGCTGAACGGTGGAACTGTCGAGAACCGGAGTGTGTTGTCTGTTGCTGCACTGCACTCTCTTCTCCTGTTTGAGATCAAGTCATCTCCCCCCCCCCGGAAGGCCTCTATATTACTGATTTTCCTTACGAAAGCGCCATACACAGTAGATGTGCGGTCTCGTGAAATGTTGACTCAAATTCTGAAATGCGTTTTCGATTCAAACAGATCACTTAGGCAGGGTTGTAATGTTAATTATCGTGCAGCCTAATCCTGAGATATTCCAGTCACGTGGGTATCCCGGTTTTCTAATAAGCTTTTTATCTACCAACTGCGTAAACTACATCCCGTATAAAGTAACTACTCGAGAAGCGTGAATTATCCCAATCGATTTCCGATGTCCTTATAAATTCAAATATATCTTGCTGAAAACACGCACAAAAATATGCATTATTTTACTTATTTGATTGCATATTACGTCTTCTCAAGGGAAGAGCATCTTTCGGTTTTAGAAGACTCAATTCCCAAATAATGTTGAACTCGACCTGCTATCAGACTTGCGTTCAGCGTTTCCAAACTACAGGCTGCATACTTTGCACGCAAGGAATATCATGCATTTCTGTATGAAGAGGGCATATAGGGCTCGTGAAATCTCAAAACGGATGTAGACCACGTTGTCCAAATTTATGAATTTGCTGATGCGACGCTGTACGATTGAAAAACCTCATAGTTAGAAGACACTCTTTCTTCAAGCGCTAAATGTAGAAAAAAAGTAATTTGCTACCAAATAAGTCAAAGAAAGGATACATTGTGCATGTTTTCTATACATACATTTGAATTTATTAGGGCATTGAAAATCAGTAAGTGGGCTAACTCATGAAATTTCAACAGAAATTCCGAAATGCGTTTCCGTTTCGAAAAGATTGATTAAGTAGGATTGTAAAACTAATCCACATGCAGCATAATTTTATAATAATTCAGTTACCCCAGGACTCCGGCTTTCGAACAAACTTCTTTTCGGCTGCATCCAAAAACCATATTCCGTAAAAAATGACTACTTATGTAGCATGCATTTTTTCATTGATTTTTGATACCCTTAAAGATTCAATTATGTTTCCTGGAAAACATGCATAAAAATATTCATTTTTTTGCTCATTCAGTAGAAAATTACGTCTTTTTTTAATTTTACACTCGAAGGAAGGGTATAATTTGGTTTTATAAAAGTTTCCAATTCCCGAATAATTTTGGACCCAACCTGCCGTTACAATTGCATTCAAGGTTCCCAAACTACAAGCCGTATAATTTCCGCGTACGGAAAACCATACATTTCTCTACGGTAATAAAGGGGGACCATATAGGGTTCATAAAATTAAGCAGTGGATTTGATCTACATCGTTAACTTTACAAGCCACATTGGTAAATGCAGAGACATGACGATTTATGGATGGCCATTTCACGGTATTAAAGAATCTCACAATTTGAAACTATTTTAAAACCGAATTATCTCCTTCCTTCGAGTGTAAAATTAAAAGAAGACGTAATTTTCTACTGAATGAGCAAAAGAATGAACATTTTATGCATGTTTTCCATGAAACATAATTGAATCTTTAAGGCCATCGAAAATCAATGAAAAAATGCATGCTACTTGAGTAGTCACTTTTACGGAGTATGGTTGTTGGATGAAGCCGTAAAAAAGTTTGGTTGAAAGCCCGCGTCGTGTGGTAACTTAATTATTATAGAATTATGCTGTACGCAGATTGGTTTTACAACCCTACTTAACTAATCTTTTCGAAACGGAAACGCATTTCGGAATTTCTGCTGACATTTAATGAGTTAGCCAACCTTCTGTATATTTGAATTTATTAGGGCATCGAAAATAAATGGGAATAACTCACGCTACTTAAGCAGTTACTTTTTCCAAAGCGTAGTTTACGCAGGCGGTCGATAAGAAATTTATTTGAAGGCCAGCTGAAATATTTCGCTATTAGGCCACACGGCAGTTAACATAACAACCCTGCTTAAGTAATCTTTTCGAGCTGAAGACGCACTTTAGGATTTCGGTTAACATTTCACGAGTTATCACATCTACTGTGGTTTGCCCTTCTTTTCGCAGGACAATTTTCCAGACCAGCTCTGTTTGCGCATGCGTAGTCTGCATTCACCGCCTCGTCATCGTAGTCCACGACTTTTTATTTTCAAAAATAGCTGCCTACTCCACGGTTGATTTCTGTCATTGCGTGACTGTACTCTGCCTGCCGGCCTGAAACTCTCGCTGATTCGGCCACGAATTAATGCCCAGCAGTGCCTTACGGCGTGGAAGTACACGCAGGTCGATCAGTGGAGCACTACTGCTAGTGCCAGTGTCTGCAAGGCCAAATTACTGAGTCATTATCACGCCAATGGGCCACACAAATAATGAAATTTTGGCATGCGGGCCATCGGGCCATTTGGTTGAGGGACGCTCACCGCTCATTTTTGCGGAACTCACTCGTCCCGCGTTGTGCCTTACGGGCTCTCGCTCTCGAGCCTAACCAGCAGCCGCACAGCGGCGCATGATACGGGCAGAAGGGAGACTAGAGCGGCCATTTCTGGCTTGTTAGCCGTCGTCAGTCAATCATACCCAAGCCCGAAGTGTGGAACACCCGAGCCTCGAACTCGCGACCTGTTGGTTTAGAAGTCCACGCCTCTATCCACCCGGCCACGAGCCCGTTGTCCTGTCGGTTTTCGATCGGGAATATACAATGGTAGGGGGCGCTCACCGATCGTTCATACGGAACTCACTCGTTCCGTTGTGCCTTAAGGGTTCTCTCTCGAGCCCAACCAGCAGCCGCACAGCGGCGCATGATATATAGGCAGAATGCTATTACCGACAAAGACAAGGGAGACTGGAATGTCCATTTCTGGCTTATTAGCCGTCGTCAGCCAGCCATACCCAAGCCCGGGCTCGATCTCGCAACTGATTGGTTAGAATTCCAACGCCTCTAACCAATGAGTTATGGACTCATTGTCCTGTCGGTTGTGATCGGGAATATACAATGGTGGAGGGACGCTCACCGATCGTTTTTTACGGAACTCACACGTCCCATACTGTGTCTTGGGGCTCTCTCTCGAGCTCAACCAACAGCCGCGCAGCGGCGCATGATACAGGCAGAATGGCATTACCGACAAAGACAAGGGAGACTGGAATGGTATCTACCGCATTAAGTTCAACCATCTGCGATTAATACAGGGACCGCTAATTGTGATAGTCATGCAGTGGCATAGCAACTGCTTCCTATAATTTCCGCAACTCTCCTGCATCCCTTATTTTATCTAACACCTTCTCCGACAATGGAACCGAGTTTGAATCCGAAGCCTAAGGCGAGTAAAATTCTTGTACTGTACATCGCGTCTTCCTCTGCCAGCCGGGCGAATTCCGTCTGATTCCTTCTCAGTTGCTTCTCAAGTCGGCCCATGTTGTACTCTGCACATGTTTGGTCTATTTCTTTGCAGCCCAAGCAAAATTACCGCTCAGACCAACATGAGTCACTTGGAGGGGAATAAAGCCTGGCTAATTAGCAGTCGTGACCGAGATAATTCTTAGGTAGGACGGCGGGCAGGCGTCATGTAAGTTGTCAGTTCGATTGCGCCTGAAAGCGAGCAGTGGATGGCCTTAATCGTCTTTCCTAACACAAATTACACGACTTGAAGATGTGATGCGCAGGATCAGAAACTCATCAATGTGGCAACAACAGCTGAGGTTGATGGCGCAGAAAATTGTGTTGCGAATAGCCCTACACGCAGCCTCACCTCCACGTTATGCTGGAGGCGCCGGCGGTGGTGGTGGTGGTGTCCCTCCGTCATCCCGACGAGCTACGGCAACACCAACGAATGTGCGTTTTTTGCATTTTCTCCGTCTTTTCTCTGCAGGCTGAACCTGATGGCTTTTCACACTTTCACGTCTACGTGTGTGCCGCCTTCCTGATGCACTTTGCGGATGAGCTGAAGCGTCAGCGGGACTTCCAAAGCCTCATGCTCTACCTTCAGCGCCTGCCCACCCAACGCTGGGGTAATGACGACGTGCAGATGGTGCTGGCCGAGGCCTTCCGGCTCAAGTCCCTCTTCTTTTACGCTCCAAAACACTTGGACTACCGGAAGAAGGACATCGAGTAGGGCCGTTGGTTCCTCCAGGCACACACTCGCGAACACCGTGCACTTGTAAAGACAGGATACCATGCTAACGTCTTTCGTGTGGGCTAGGTCCCGCTCTCGGCTCCTCCAACCCACGTCTACTCTCCCTTCCTCTCGCCCTTAGCTTCCACTCTCTTCTTCAGTATGGTTATTTTGTCTCTGTATTCTGCTGCTGATGATGATGTTATTTCTAGTTATTTTTGCTGAGCCTGTACCTCCCGCCTACCCCGCGTTGCGGGTGGCCCGTTGCTATCTCTTCCCCCTTCCCGACCTCGGGATCCCCCACCCATCCCCCGGCTTTCAAAGACTACCACAGAATTGGTAGCTTTTATTGTTCCGTTCTCAACAAATGTGGCCTGAAGGCACTAACGTATCGTGTCTTTGAAGATAGCCTATTCTTTAGGAGGTAAGGTAGTCAACATTTGTTTCACATGTTCCCATTGAACCTGCCCAGAACGTGTTCTGAGTCATGCATGCGCTCGATAGAACGGCGGCGTGATGTTTGACTGAGAAAGCCTGACGTGAAACCAGCTGGATGGATTTGTGTGCGCTGTTGAACGGATGTGAACCCAATCACGTGATTGGGCAATATCCTCGCTAATTTTCCAGTGAAAAACCGCATTCTGGTAAAGGGACGCTCACCAATCGTTCTTACGGAACTCACTCGTTCTGTGGTGCCTTACGGGTTCTCTCTCCAGCCCAACTAACAGCCGCACAGCGGTGCATGATGTAGGCAGAATGTTATTATCGACAAAGACAGGGGACGAGGTGGCGAGCATACGTAGCTTTCGATAACTTCTCATCGGGCCAGTACAATTATATGGGAACGGCGTAGAGGTAAAAACATGTCAATGATAAGAGAAATCGATTAAAGTTCGCCCTAAAACACAGGCCGGGTTTTGGAATGTGGGGGATGGGAAGTAATAGCAGTCAGTGTCAGAGGCGGGGTGAGAGCGGAAAGGCGCGGGGAGAGTTGTAGCGTTAGTCAACCTTCGACCACTGTAGGCGCTGAGCCTGAACATGGTTCTTCTGTACTCACAAGATTGGTTTTCGTAACCTGATGGCGGCCGCCTCTACTGTTGCCAACAGGCGCTGGCCCACTAGTTTAAGATAGCTCAATGGGACCATATAAATCACGCGAAAAGCTCCGTTGGGGTCTACCCGATGTCCGAAATCGACAACATGCGCGATAATGGCGCTGCTTATGCTTCTGGTTTCGCCTTTTCCCAGCCATGTCAGGAGGTGTTCCCGTATTCTCCTGGATAAGCTTCGACTCGTGCGACCAGTATAACCTGCTCCACAGGAAATTTGATCCCTTGCTGCTGGAATGGTTCGCGAGGCAGCGTGATCAAGGCGCCTCTAGGAGTTTACTCGCAGTGTCCCTTGAAGAGGGACTTTGAGGAACAGAGAAAACTCAGTTGGGGTGTAATCGGGAAGGAAGGAGACGAAAGGCGCTCTAGGTAAATGTTGATCATCTAGGAGGGATCACTACTGTTCAACTGCGTAGACACACAAAATAGCGTGTTTTGTGGATCACCCAAAATTTCACGAGGGAGATCTGCGCACAGTATAGAATTTCTCGAGAATTATTAATCCTTCCGGAAAGTTGGAAAGCAGTCGAGTCTGAAGGTTCGTGAGACAATGGCGTGAGCTGTTTTTATAAGCTTGTGGGGCTAGCTCGGTTGGTGTCCAACTGGTGTGTGTGTTGCATTTCCCGAGGGGTGGTGTTCAAGCGGCTTATGTTGTGTTCGTAAGGGAGCTGGTGTATTCAAGTGGCGCATGTGCAGCTGCGGCTATGCGGACGCATGTGCGTCCGAGTTGAAGCCGGTGGAGTAGTTGCAGACCATCGTGTCTAGAACCGCTCACTGCGAAGTTGAATGACTTCGACGTAAAGGAGCCTTGAACAAGGACACCAGGCATGGCCACGATGGTTGTGGGCAATGACAGAATACATCCCTAAGTTGCAACATGATAGCTCTTGATTGGGGCACTTTCAAGCCACCTAGGACAATTGAACTCTATAAAAAACGATTATTTCAGTAGCGCAAAGTTTGCCTATTTATTTAAGATGCTCCTATCCAATTAATGATGCTTTATCAAAAGTATGGAAACACTCATCTTTAAAGGCCTTTCTAGAAAACCGCTGTTTCTTCAAATTCTAGCTCACAGGTAGAAGGCTATGAGATAGAAAACTCGTAGGACGTACTCGAACTATCGAGTGCCGAATTCGCACCAGGTAAACAACCTACTGAGTCATCGCACCCACATGCACACGTTAAGCTCCCCTGGAGTTACAAGACCGACCTGACAGAAGATAAGTGGTGAATTTTAGGAAGCAGTTGCAAATTAGCAGACTCGATAACTGGGATGAGAGTTTTTTGCCACATACCACTCATCTACTCCGTGTGACCAATGCTGCTTGTGTTTGCTCGGCGATTGGCTGGCGGACCGAGATAGACCCGGTGGTCCCCTCTTAGTGTGGTCCTTATAGCTTTCTACTTCGCGTGGAATCCGATGTGCCCATTCTTTGTGAAGACCCGGTACTTTGTGCGCTGACGCGACGTGGGTGGCACGCGTAGACGGGTGTCTTAGATTCGCCAGCCACTGCATCCCAGCCCGTCTCACGTTGGCCTGACTCTCTTCTATCACCGGGCCCAGTTGAGTGGGAATGGAGAAAGTCCGGCAGACGTTAATCAAGTCTGCTTTCACTACAGATTAATTCGCATGCTAGTCACCATGTTGTGCTCGCCGTTCCATGGGGTACACAGTGGACATCATCGCATGCAACCGTCAAACTGTCGCGTGCATTAGTTTGGTGAATCTACTAATCGCACCTTCTCCCTGGCCAGCAGGGAAGAATTGCTTTCATCTAACTGAAGCTCCTCTGAGATTACAAGACAGGCTGAGAGTCATAGCTGCAACAGCTCTGTCGATATGGCAGCCGGCGCTAATGCAAGGCTCTGTTGTTCGAGCACATCGCGAAATTAACACTTTCTGCTGCACAATTGCTTTACGTCTCCCTAGTCTGACTTAGGTAGTGCTCTGACAGCCGATCATCTTAATACGCATTCCAAAGCACAGTCGAACAGGGGATGCAGTCGGTGGGCACATGCCAAAAAGTTAGCTTCTGCTAATTTCTTATTTAGTCCTTGACGGGCTGCATCAGCGCAGTGCGAGCTAATAACATGTAGGCAAGGTAATGAAGCAGCGGTCTGGTCAAAAGCGGCTACAAAACCCAGAGACAAGACTCGTCGTCCACAAACCAAAACCCTCGACTAAATATAACGCACTGACTGAGGAAAACCTGTACGAGAAAAACTGACATACAGTGAGTGACCAATCTCATGAAGTGTTAACTGAAATTCTGAAATGCGTTTTCGATTAGAAAGGACTACTTTGTCGCGGTTGTAATACTGATTATCTGGTGTCATAATTTTATAAAATTTCGGACTCGGCAGAATGTCAGCTTTTGAATAAACTGCTTTTCAATCTCCCATAGAAACCATATTCGGTAAAAATGACTACTTAAGTAGCATGTGTTTTCCCTATTGATTTTCGATGGTCCTGCAAATTCAAATGTATCTTATAGAACCCATAAACAAAAATATGTTTTCTTTCAGTTAATTAATAGAAAATCACGTCTTTTTTTATATTTTGTACTCCAGGAAGGAGTGTAGTTAGATTTTTAAAAAGGTTTTTTAATTGCCGAATAATTTGGAGCCTGATTAATCGTTGCATTAGCGCTTAGTGATTTCTGTCTACAAGGTGCATGCGTTCCCCGTAAAGAAAATCACAATTTTTTCTGTGCTCTTAAAAAGACACTACGTAGAAGCCATAAAATTTTGCAATGGATGCGGACCATGTTGTACATTTCATGACGAGCTGTGGTAAACGGCGAGGTACGATGCTAGTTGAATGGAAATTGCGAGGCCTAAAAAATATCATAATTAGAAACATTTTAAAACCTAGTTTAACTTTCTCTTCGAGTATAACATATGAAGATGACGTGATTCTTTATCAAACGACTGAAAAAACCATGGTTCTGTTTGCGTTTTTACAAAATATATTTAAGTTTATAAGACCATATGACATCGTACCTGTCCGTTTGGCAATGCTTCTCATGAAATGTACAACACAGTCCGCATCCATTGCAAAATTTCATGGACTCTATGTGACATATATAGAAAGTCGGAAATCAATGCGAAGATGCATGCTAATTAAGCAGTCACTTTTTACCGAGTACGGTTTCCACAGGAGTTTGAAAAGCAATTTATTCAAAAGCTGACATCGTGCCTAGTTCAAAATATTACTGGATTATGCCGCAGAAGAATCAATGTTACAACCCTACCTAAGTAGTCCTTCCTAATCGAAAACGCATTTCAGAATGTCAGCCAACACTTTATGAGATTGGTCACTCTCTGTATATGTGGGGCAAGGTCGCGCGTGGCAGGTGTAGCCCTACCGGATGCTCCGTCGGGGCTCAACTGTAACCATCTTGACACTGCCTTGCCAACAGAAAACGAACACACCGTTTCAATTGTATGTCTAACTTCCAATTGTGCGTGGATTTTATATCTGAGCATTTCTCTTACTTGGAAGGAAAGGAAATGAAGACCAACTAGAATGACATACCCTCTAGGGCATACCCTAGGATGTCAAACATTCTCGACTCAGACTTGAAGGGAATGAACGTTAACCAAAAGCAGCGGTGACTGTACCGCGAAAACTATTACTGTTAGAACGGTAGTAAACCTTGTGCGGAGGGAATCTATAAGAAATAACCACGGGCATTTTGGTGACACGTAAAGCGGAAGATTGAAGTAACGGAGACAGAAAAACACCGGGACTGCATGAATGAGTGCACCGTTAATGTATTTAGTCCAATGACGTCTGGCGAAAAATAGCATATCAGCAAGTCATTGGCATACATATGAACGAAAAATGGTCGAAGTTTTTCAATACACTTTAATGACAACTTCGTGCATAATCCACTTCCATGGATACTGTAGTGCCTTCACACCCATATTTAGGTAAAAATATCAGCTGACTAGAGCAATGCCTTGTGAATGCCGATAGGCCAAATAAACCGACCGCAACAGATTACTTCCCTTTACTGCCAACATTTGACCCAGTCTAGGGTATTTTTAGATGAACGTTCATTCTACGATCAGACTAAATCCACGATCTCAACACAGTGGCACAGCATATGCTCGACAGCAGTGGAACTGCTGAAGATCAGGATACTCTGAGAATAAATAAATGCTTGGAAATTCCTCGGAAGAGAGACGACTTTTTAAAGCCGGCTACAGTAATTGCCAGACTTGACAGTGACTTTGGCCAATAACGGAAGCATTTAAATCTCAAAGCGATGCATTTTTTCCTGCAGGAATTGTGGAATGAAAGAGTATTGCGCAGCTGCTTACTTGAGTATTACTCGCAGAATGGCAGCTTTAAATAGGTGTCACAACGAAGGACAGCAGCGCACTGAAAGGACATAGTGGAAAGCCAACGGGAAAACTTAAATGCTTCATAAAAACCACAGCAGCTAGAGTGGGCACGGAGAGAACTTGCCCTAAATATATCCATTTAAAATGATTGGCTCAGCGAGAACAAAATTTCCGTTATTGGCAGTCATAAGTCAGTCAACTCTTTTTAATAGACGGAAATCGTGGCAAAAAAGATCTGCATGGCCGCTGATGCAAGGAGTCTGTCGGTAGGGCATCAGTTTTGACCCAACTGCGAAAGACTCAGTTAATAGGATTCTCACCCACGAGAGCGAGGGGAAGGCTTTTGTGCACCCAACGCTCTAGCTACCTGAGCTACGACGCCCCACCGAACGACGCGAATATAATTGTAACCGCCAGCCATCATAACCGGTCTGGCGTCATTGTTCAAGACCTCGCTGCCTCAAGGTCATTCACCCCTTGCAGCGAGCCGTCCCAGACGAGCTGACCTGAAGTCACACGACCAACAGCTCGGGCATGCCTGTGTCCGCACAGTTGCAGCTGCGCATGCGGCCACTTGAACACGCCACCCCGTGCAACCATCAAAACAAGCCACTGGGACACTACCCCTCGGCAAATGCAACACACAATGACTGGACACCACTCGAGCTTGGCCCACGAGCCTACAAAAGCGGCCGCCACCACCATCTCAGGGACTCTCAGGCATGACTGGACACAGTAAACACCAGCCCTGGCTTCGCCAGTGGCCACTGTCGCCTGAGAGGACAACTCCGGGTTCTGTGCACAATAAACCCCTCATTCTGGTGCCTTCCGTCTTCTTCTTACAACTTGGGATTCGACCTGGTGGTTGTAGCGCTCAGAGCACTTATTCTCACTACTGTGCCGCTACATTACCTTTTGGTCAAGTTTACCCGCCCAACCTACGCAACGTCTTGATCAAGCAAATATGATACGGTAAGCTGGCCGCCCAAGCAGGATTTCCTACGTGATATATATAGAATCCATCAGATGACTACCAGGTGCATGTAATTAATGGGAATCAGTTTAACTGCCTCCGTGAGCAAGCTGAATGTTTCAGTCGTGGAGACCGTAAACTCAATCAATGAAGCATGCATTTGGCTCACGGTGGCGGTATTCTTAGGGCATGTTTTGGAAGAGGTAGATAACTCAAAAGGCCATGCAATACCTACTCACCATCGACCGCGGATGCCTTCGTTGCAAAATTGTCGTCATAGGTCATATTCACTCCTAAAGTTAAATAAATCGAAATCGAGTAGCGAATACCCGCTAGATCACAGGGTTTTCTTAGCTAGTCAGTTGACGAGAACCCGTCCGACACTAGATTGGTCAACATTACAGGACAGAGAAACTCAAGGTTTTCATGTCCCCGCGTACCTATGCATGTGTCTATTCCTGCTTTATCGTTAATACACGATGTTGTGGATTCGAGAAAGCCCCGGCTCCGCGTATGCATGCATGGTCGTGTCTGGCGTCCTTGTTCAAGGAATCACTGCGTCAAGGTCACTCTGCCCTTAAGGCAAGCCGTTTACGTCGCGCTGGCCTGAAGTCACTCGAACGAATTGAGCTCGGACGCACCTGCGTACGCACAATCGAAGCTGCCTATGCGGCCACTTGAACGAACCCTCATGCAGCCACGGAGGTCTGTTAAACGTCACCGCTCGGGAAATGCAGCACACTTATAGGACACGCATTCAGATTGCTCCACAGGCCTAATAAAAGCAGGTGTCACCACTGTATCACGGACTTTTAGGGCATGACTGAACGCAGTCGACACCAGCCCTGGCTTCGACAGCGGTCACTGCTTCCTGAGAGGACAGCACAGGTCCTTCATTCTGATCACTTCTGTCTTTTCCTATAACTCGGGATTTGACCTGAGTATTGCAGCGCTCTTGGTCTACATTCCACCGCTTAGGCGCTGAATGTTACACTAAGCACGTTGACGTGTGGATTCCTTAAAAGTCCTCCATGAAAAAAGATTCAGGTAAGGATCGCTAAGGAAAGTGAGCAGTTGTTTAAGGGATAGGGAATTTCATCAGTAGAAAGAGTTTCACTGACACTAAACAGCAAGTGTATTTTCTTCATCAGAATTGCGCTCCCGTATGAGCTCAACTTCGTAAACTCGGGCTTAGTAGAAGTCCAAACGGTAGCATAAATAATTCCTTGCCAGACGACACATAGCGAGATTGCAAACGGGATCGAATCCTCTCTTTAATTGATAGTGCTACATAGTCACAAGGAACATGGGGCACTCTTCTGTGATATTTGCCTAACATACAGTGTTTCAGACAGTAGTCGATTCCAACCCGGTTTTGACCGTGATCTTTGGTCAGTGTATTCTAGACTCCGCGAAAGCAATCTAAAAAAATCTGACATCTGTTAAACTGTTTTATCTGGAATTGACACCTGAAAATAACACATGAATTACACAGCTTCCGGTAGTACATAATCAAGGGAAAAAATCAACTGCAGTATGCTAGTAGTGTCAGAAACCTCTATAGTGATCCCACAACATCAGTCTATACAAAGTCTACCTATCAGAATATGCACCATCTGAGGACAAATCAAGGCTTCATGGCTCGACACACATTTGGACCTTCGTTTAGATATTATATGATGATACGGTTGAGACCACAATTTGCGGGCTAAATACGGCTACAAAATAAAAAAAGTCATCTGAATCTTGAAATTTGAGGTAATTAACATGAACGCGCAAGATTTCCACTCGGACAAGAGGAAACGTCGCATGAGAAGTTTATTCACAGCCAAGCATATTAGTAAAACGAACATTGGCATCTCAACGAAACAGTGCGCACGAAAGGAGTTTATTTTAGTAACTCATGTTTTTGGAATTTAAGATGGTGAGCTCTTCTTGTTCGGTAGCCTCGTTGATGTTATTCAGCACTTGCGAGACAAATTTCGAAAAGGATTCGCGGAGTGAGTCCCCGTGATTGGGCAACCTTGACTTGATCTTTAAGAGTTTGCTTAACTTTGTCGCTGTAAAAAATTAGTTAAAGAATTGTAACTCTTACGTAAGCAAGCAATGTCCTGATCATCCGCACAAGCGAACACATTTTGTACTACACAACAATTCGCATCTTTGATACTGGCATGTGAAGCCGCAATCTTGTACCTAATAATAAATGAGGAAACAGCATTTACCATTCTTCCAGCTCATCCCCATGAGTTATTTCGTTTACGTTGTACAAAAGCACCAATCCATGGATGCCTTTAAAAATCGCAGGCCAACAGCTCTGGTAGCTTTTGCTACCACTTACATCCCACAATTCAATATCGACCTTTGTGGGTTTTGACTTAATTGGAATAAGCATGTCATACTCTAAAATTCTTTCCAGTTCAAATAAATTGTCAATTCGTTACCTCAATGCTTTTGTCGGGCGGTATTCGGAGTTGGATTGTTCAATTGCATCCGATAAAAAATTGCAAAAATACGACTTCCCACTCTACAAATTGGTTTTTCTGAAAATAATTTACTCCTTGTGGACCAACTACAGCAATCTTTATATGTGCCATTCTGAAAGCTAAATTTGACTGCACGTTGTCACGGTAAACAATTCTCATCTGGCCCGCATTATAATTATTAATGTTATCGAGACATTAAAAGCAGCATGTCGCGGAGGAATATTCTACTGAACGTTTAATGACGATTACATCCAGTTAGGCAAACGTCAACAACTCAAGCACATTAGCATTTTTATTCGGGCGGCTGCTTAACTTTAATAACAGCGCCTCTGAAATGCCGATGGAAAAATTAGGCAAATGGATTGTCTGCTGGTTTGAAACACGTTGGCAAGCGTGTATTTTCGGCAATTTATCATCAGACCATTATCATTACATGAAGAATAAACTTGTGAACCATGGGCTTGGTTTATCTGTCCCAGGAGTGTTAGTTAATCCTGTTCGTCTTTCCCATGCTGCCTGCAAGAAGGAGACAGCGTGTTGTCATTTTTGGAGTTAGGGTAAGGGGTGGTAATGGGAGGAGTTTGGGATAGAATGTAATGGCTGTCTGTATGTGAAACGTGTGAATTACATATTGCTGCTATCAGGGATTAGGGAACGTGCAACCACAAACTTTCTTTTGGCCAAGGAATATAGACTGCCTGTATGAATATCTTCTGACAAGAGCTCGTTGGATACAAGAGTTAGCGAGATAATTTTGAAGTTGCATAAGGTGGCCTACCTATGGAAATACTTTGGACAGCACACAAGTTCCGGATAATAACGGCAACCGGGAAAAGGATGTTCTTATCGTTTAGGGGCAGTATTCTTGTTCATTTCTGATGTGCATTTTATAGATGCACGTACTGGTATTCGCTAAATTTTAAACATTTCGTAGAATATGAAGGAGCGAAGATTTTGACTATCACATATAGTTTGGTAATGGCACTACCTTCGTGAATGCTTAACGCAACCATTTATTTATTCATTTGCCTGGTATTTGAGTGTTTAGTCACGTTTGTATACCTGAAATAGCAATTCTCGAAGAAGGCGATGAATGCACATATGATTTATCCAAAATAAATGGTCAACTGTGGGAGACAAAGTGAAGCACTCCACCCCCAAAAGCGCCTGTTTATTCTTCAGGTCAGTTCAAAAATTGATCGAGATATTGTTCGTCACATATGATACGATTGGCGTTTCCCACCCTGTCTAAACTTCATTGGAGATTAAGGAAACTCTCAGGACAAGGGCAACGCGTGCAGCACGATTTTGAAAACATAAGTGAAAGTTATATTTTTGGATCCAATTTCTTAAAATCTTGCACAGTTTTCCAGTGTAGATCTGACAAAATTTCCTATTTTTCGTCATAAAACATCTTCGCTTCCCCTCGTGTGTCGTCGATCTGTCATAAAGCAGAAATCTAGTGTCAGTTTTTCACTCAACATAGCCTCAATCCTATTAAGTGTTACCTGTATATACAAAAGGTTCTGCTCATAAAATTTTGAATAAAATTACATTTTAAACGATAAACCGTCTCCACCGACCACTTTTGTCGTCGGTTTATTGACTAGTAAAAGAACTCTATTTTATCCTACATAGCCTTATTATCTAATTCAAATTTATTCACACTTCTGTTTTGTCACCTGCGAAATTGTAATTTACCCGTTTTTTAAGTTTGCATTCCGTTATTGAGTAAAATTTGCTTAGTATAAATTGTGCTGTCTGGTCCACCAATATTGACAGCTTTCAGAAATCGTTTCATCACCCTGCCAACACCTGGCCACACCTTGTAAATGGCCAAGCGCGGCCATGGCCACGCCTAATTTGAAGAAATTTTGAGGACCTCCCAATCGTGTAGGTGACCACTTCTGCATTGCAAGGTGCTAAATTCAGTTTATTTCAGTTTATTTGGTAAGGATAATAGGCAAAGCCTTTGAAAACCCTATTGATTACATGTCAGCTCGTTAGAATAACTGTACACGAACAAAAAAATATTCACTATTAAAACAGTACTTGGTTCATTTGAGTAGCATTGTCTCAGAGAAAATATTTGTCTGGACCAGGGGTATTAGTTCAGATTCAGACCGTCGAGGGAAAACAGGGGACACAAATAATCATTCAAGCGTTTCTTGAAGAGTTGCAGGGATGTAGCCTCCACGACTGACTGAGGGAGATCGTTCCATTTCTCCACTACCCTCTGCGTGAAAAATTCGGAACGGAGATTCAGCCTGGACATTGTTGTCCGTAACTTCATCGGGTGACCACGAAGATTGGGTGAAAGGTGCCACTGAAACATGTCCTCAAATTTAAGTCCATACTCTCTGTGTAGGAATGGCTTTTTAGACCGTTTACCAGCTTTGTTGCACGCCGTTGTACCCGTTCGAGGCATTCTTGGTCCTTTACCAGCCATGGCCGCCATGCTTGTATGCCATATTCTAAGTGGGGCCGAACAAATGTGCC